GATAAAAAGCATAGGTTTGTGTCTCATTTCAGAAGTCAGAGAAAAATGTGGCTGTCTACATCTAAATATGGGAAGACAGTGTGATAGAGGAGAAAAAGAAATAGATTTGCATTCAGACTGTATTCAAGACCCAGTTTCTGCCACCTTTTACTCATATGCCTTTGGGCAAGTGCTCTTATCTCCTGGATTTGTCTTCTGCTATACAAAATGATGGAGTTGATCTAAGGTCTCCGAGACCTTCCAGCTTTAAATCCGTGTTCCCATGGCAAGCGAACAGCTGTGGATATCACAGCCAAAGATGGAACAGAATTGTTGAGAAGAGTTCAGATGCCGTCAGCAGCCAAACAAAAATATACCTTGTGATTGTCCGTTCCCCATTTTAACAAGTCGTCTGTGCCTGTCTTATCTCCCCTGCTGAACTGTAAGGTCCCCGATGGCAAAGACTGCGTGTCCTGCAGCTTTACCTGCTAGAACCCTGCAAAGGGCCTAGTAGGTACCCAACAGCTAACTAATCATGGAAAAAAGAAAGAGCGTCTCAGTAAACTTGAAGCACTTCGAAGGTTCAACATGGCAGCCAAGGCCCTAGGAATACAAAAAGGCCAATTGCAAAGCTGTGAAAATCATTTAAATTGTTATCTAGATGTCTCTGAGGATAGAGCACCAGGCTTGGGATCAGGAAGACCTGAGTTCAAATCCTACCTTGGATGCATGATAGTTGTGTGACACTGGGCAAGTTACAATCTTTGTTTGCCTCAGTTTCCTGTTCTGTAAATATGGGGATAATAGTCACGCTTATCTCTCAGGGATATTGTAAGGATCTTATGAACTAATATTTGTACAGCACTTTGCAAACCTTAACGTGCTAGCTATTGTTATCATCATCATCATCATCTTTCCAATAAAGAAAACCGTATGGTATAAAGGAAAGAGAGCTAGATTTAAAGTTAAGGAACTTGGTTTTGAACCTCAGCTCAGCTACTCAGCTACCATCATACTCACTGTGTGACCCTGAACAAACAAGTTGTTTAAATTCCCTGTGCCTCAGTTTTCTCATCTGTAAAAATGGCTAAATAGAACCTGTAGCGCTACCTTACAGGGCTGCTGTGATTCTCAGATGTGATTATCAATAGGAAACCTCTTGAGGAGTATAAAGCCTTTTATAAACTGTAAAGTACTCATAAATGGGAGGATCAAATGATACAGCGTATGTGGAGCACTTCAGAAACCTTAAAGAGCAATAGTAATGCCTGATTATGACACACAAAGCCCAACTCTAATGTTGAGGACGTGGAGACCAAAGTGACTTGTCCAGGGTCACACAGCTAGGATGAATGAGACCAAGGTAGGATGGGAAACGAAGAGTGGAACTCTGCCTGTGAGACCAGGCAGTGTCTATAAATGTGGGGTCTTCCTTGAGCAAGACTGAGAAAGCCAATGAGAATTCATTCAGGTTGGAGGACTTGTAGTAGGAACCAAGACAGACCTTTGAAAATCACTTAGAGGGTGTTATTGGAACACACATGAGGAGCAATACCTGAAACAAAGACTAACTGAAAGTTTTTATTTTATTTTTTAACAGGATCTGTGATTTCATTGGAGTGAGGAAATTGTGGTTAGGAGACTGCCTCTCCCATTGCAAACCAAACCATCAGCCACTTTATAGCTTAAGAGTGTTAGAGAGCTGGCTGGGGGACTCACTGAGAGGTTGAATGCCCTGTCCGTTGTCACCCCACAGAGTGTGTGTCAAACGTAGGACTTGAGCCCACGTCTTCAGGACTCCGGGACTGCTCCCTGTTCAGTACACCAGGCTGCTTGTTTAAATAGAGTCCAGAGAGGTAGGGGAAAGGGCTTGTCCTCTAGGAAGAGCTAACCCTGGGATGCCTCCCTGGTGTAATGAAAAGAGAATACAGTGTTCTGGTCCTGCCTTGTCCTTTCATTTCTTGTATGTCCTGGAGTAAAATATTGGACCTTGTGAGATGAAGTCATTTCAGAGTTGTTGTGGAAACCAGATAAGATGATTGGAAAAGCTTTGGAAAGTATAAAGCACATGCTGATGTGAGAGTTCTGTTTATTATTATTTGGTGGTCTTATTCCTCCTGTTATTGATAGGGCAGTTTCTATAACTGTTTTAGAATCACATAGAATTAGAGTCCAATTCCAGTCTTTACTAGAGGGAGGGTGTGACCCCAGCACTGTTCTCAGAGACAGAGGTCCCCCTGAGGAGTCCAGGTCGTGTCCCAGGCCTGAGCTTGCGACAGGAGATTGTGGACCTTAACAAAGGAAGATGGGCAGTTTGTCAGGTTGTACCAAGCACCCACTGAGTTTCCTCTTCTTTCTACTATCTGAGAACCATGAAGTGGGGAAAACAGGTTGACTGTCTGTCTCACAAACTCCAATTTCAACAAGGGCCTCTGGAATTTTGGGCAAGGCTTATACAACCCTAGCCCATGATCCTTGCAATGGGCATGAAGGTGAAACTGGGGACAGAATCCCCTTCCCTAGAATCCAGTATAAAAAGCAAAACTCTGTACCCTATTCTCCTCAGCTTAGGTCTCTGTACTCATTTCATTGATGCAACATGTATTTGTTAGAAGCCTACTGTTTTCTCAATGGGAAAGGTACTGTGGAGGATATAATAGAAAAATATAGCAGGCTCCATCCTTGAAGAGTTTACTGAGACTTACTTACAAGAAATAATTAGAAAACAATTATCTGTGATATGTAATCAGGTGCCAAATTGAATATAATCAAATGATCAAGGTTGCATGGTCCAGAGTGCTATAGGTTATTAAGGGGAGAGATTCATTTGGAAAAGTCTTCAATACCTCAGTAAATTTAAAGGAAGTTACCAGGTTAATCCCACCCCTGGAAATTGCATTTCCTTGGGGACAGTGGTCCGGACCAACAGGAAGAGGAGCTTACATTGTGTTGGGATTGTTTCTCAGGGCAGTATAACAGTAAGACATGCTAAAAGATGTTGTTTTCTTTTGCTTTTTTTTTTTAGATAGCATTTCCCTTTGCTGCCCTTAACTTTGTTGTTAGAAAACTGGAATTTTCTGAATAAATCCTAGAATGAAATTCACAGCCAGTTGGAAATATATATGGTTCAGGTGTGGGGAGTCTTCAGCCTGGAGTCCACATGTAGCCTTCTAGGTCCTTGGTTGCAGCCTATGCACTGAGACCAAGTTTTACAGAATAAATCCTTTTATTAAAGGGATTTGTTCTGTGAAGTTTGGATTCAATCAAAGGACTGCACTTGAGGACCTATGTGGCCTCAAGGCCACAAGTTCCCCACCTCTGGTTAGGCAGTCGTGGAAGCTGCAGCAGAAGCAGCCTTTGGATATTCCCAGTGGGATGAAACAGAGAAAGAGTTTTGAAAAACCAAGTTATTGTTTGTGTATTTTGTGAAAACCTAGATTATTTTGATATTGGGAGGTTGGAGAATCTGAGGACGAGGTGGTATCTGGAGATGTGTTATTAGCAGTAATAGTGACTAAGAGGGACCAAAGGAGGACCCTTTTGACACAGCATCTGGGGACAGGGTTATGGTTGTGTTATCGTTCTTGGATAAAAACAGTCGGGTCCCCTTACTTTTGGAAGTGCAGTATCCTTGAGGTCTTACTGGAGAGTCAGAACCCAGCAGCTCCTTTCTGGCCTATGACTCCACCCCAACCCCCACAGCTGGGGCAGGGGTGGGGTGTGTGGAGAGGGGGAGTGTGAGCTGGAACTTCCCAAGGGGCAGTGGGCAGTGGCCTATACATCTCCTAGGAATGAACGCTTTCTGCCCGCCCACACCCGCCAGGGAAAGGGTGGGAAATGGCTCCAGTTCACAGGGCAAGATTGCCATAATACAAATGTTCTTGACAGTCATGCTGATTCTTTCCCCCAGTGCCCTGTTCAGAAGAGAAATTGTTCTCCCAGTGGAGACCAAATAGAAGGACTTTCTGGAGGAGCTGTCAACATGATTTACCAACAAGTGGTCTTCTAGGTAGCAGTATTCTTCCTCCTAAGCTCCACCTTATAGGCACAAGACAGGCTGACAGAAACTCAAAGGTCTGATGAAAAGCCTGGTATGAGGCACTGGGGAACCTTCATTTCAGTAGAACAATTCTGACAGTTTCCTGATCCTGCCACGTGAAAATGGCTCATCATTCTAAGGCTTTCAGAAGGGTTGTCTTGTCCATCCGGCTGCCCTAGGACCTCAGGTACTGTGGATAAAGAGGAGAAAGCAACTTAGTCTTTCTCAAACCACACAGTAAAGGATGTGGCAAATGGGGTTCAGCCTTTCTCCTACCTATAGAAGTATACCCTCTGGTCAGATTAGTCCTGAGCAGGATTAGGTAACTCCAGTTTCAAAAATTACATCAAAAGTTTGTTAAGCTTGCTTCATAGGTACAGAGTGCTCTCCTAAGTATCAGGGGGTGATATGTAGTTTACATAAGACAAGGCCCCTGATCTCATAGAGCTTACTCTCCTGGGGTGTAGGAGAGAGAGAGAGAAACCAGCAAAGCCAGCCAGGTAGTCAGTCAACGAGTACTTATTAAGTAGCTACGCTGTGCCAGGAGGTGTGTGAGGCCTGACAGACAAAAAAGAACTGGCCCCTAGCCTCCTAGGAACTCCCATTCTGTCTGCAGAGACAAATAGTTCATGTAGCATAGACCCAAAAAAGGTCTAGCTAGTCTCCTTGGACCATAGAGAGTGTGAAAGGTAGTAACGAATGCTAAAGCTGGACATTAGGATGGAGCCCGTTTGTGAAGGGCTGTAAATGCCCAACAGATGAGTCAATCTTCGACCCCAGAGGTCATACGAGGCATAGTAGTCCCTGTCACATAGCAGGTTCTTAATAAAAACTTATTGATAGAATTACATTGACCATGATCTGGCAGGTTTTTTCCAAGGCTTCTGCTCCATGCCCAGAGGTAGGTCAGAATCTGGTTATTCCTATGTCCCTGTGCTGAGGGGGCACCAGGCTGAATGTTTTTGTTTTGTTTTCTCCCCAGGAAACCTGAAAAGGGAGTCCAGTACCTCATTGAGCGAGGCTTTGTCCCTGACACACCCGTGGGCGTTGCTCATTTCCTCCTTCAGAGGAAGGGTCTCAGCAGGCAAATGATCGGGGAGTTCCTGGGGAACCGGCAGAAACAGTTCAACCGGGATGTGCTTGAGTGAGTAGCATTTGTGGCGGGGGTCCCAAGTGCAAGGGCAAGGAATATATACTGAGTCTAAGATTGAAAGTGTATATGGTGTGGGTGCTGCTCATTCTCAGGAAGAATTTTGGGCACTGTGAACAAAGGAAGGAGGTGGGACACCCCACTTGCTCTATCAATTCATCAGTCAATCGATAAATGCTTACTAAGTACCTGCTTTGGGCCAGACACTGTGCTAAGAGGTAAAAGACAGTCCCTGACCTCCAGGAGCTTACAGTCTAACAGGGGAGATAACATACACATCTCATCACTCCTACTGTGTGTGTGCTTCATACACGCTGCCCTTCTCGGGAGTACTCACTGTGACACGTAGGCTTTATTACTCAAGAGCAGCACTAATGTTTCATAGCAGAATTGATCAGCAGAATGCTTATGGGGATTTATGGACCTCCCAGTGACTGATATTTACTCTGAATTTATGTGGCAGTTGCTTTCAGAAGGAGGAAACCTATTCATTTGGGGGCCTTTCCTCTTTCTGAAGCTTTGCAATAATTTATCACTGGAAATGAAATCATATTATGTTCTGCATCGGACTTCATCAGTGAGAGCAGGAGAGAAGCTATTACTATTTCAAGACCTCCTCACCTCCCTTAGGAATGGGTAGCCCAGAGCCCAGTATCTAAATATAGCCTCCTCCATCATTGTTTTTAGAATCTCTCTTTTCTTTCAAAACTCTTTTCTTTCAAAACATTTTCTATGAAGCTTTTCCTGATCCTCCCCCCACCTTCCCCTCTCCAGCCATTAGTGGTCTTCCCTCCATCCCCTTATATTTATCATACCTCAGTGCCTAGCAGATAATAGGCTCTTAATTAATGCTTGTTGATTGACTGGCTAACCTCTTTACCATCTAGGATGGGGGAAACAATTCACAGACAGTTCTTACTAGCAGAGAGCATAGGTCTGTTTCCATCCCTGACTCGAGCTTGACCAAGGAACCAATTCTCTGGTGCCTTTGACCACATCTTGAAGATCGAATCTCTCCTTCCATTGAGCTCCTCTGTTTAGATGCTGCCTGAGAGCAAGAAGGCAAGGTGTTGGGGTTTATTGTACTGTACGGAGACCAGAGGCTACTCTCACATCTCATCTCAGATCAATACTTAGCTCTCTCTAGTTCTCTCCAAAGGACAAAAAAGAAAAAAAAGTCTGCCTGTGAAACTGACCTCCCTTTATTGGCCTAGCACGAAACTAGCCCAAAGCCAATCAGTTGGTTTTCAATGGACCCTTAATAGCTCAAGCATTTAATTTCCTTTAAGTCCCAGACAACAGTTTGTCACCATGTAAGCTCATCAGATTGACCAGAGAACATTCCTATACAAAATATTGACAAGTGAGCCATGAAGGCTTTGGACAGTGGTGAAGGAGAAAGAGAAAGGAGGTCACCTGTATGGTATCATGAGTCCCAGTAATGTTCCCTTAGACCAAAAAGACAGATTGTCCCCAGCCTCTTGCGGTAGGAGTTTGAGGGGCAGATGAAGAGCTCAGCCTTGGAGAAGGCTTGAACTGCAGGCTTCTTTCTGATGGGGCAAGTTGAAAGAGAGCATTTAAGTATCTCAGGCCATTTATTTGGAGCTGGCCAGGGCCTACTTGGCAGCCAATTCAGCCCCTCCATGGTTTGCTGAGCCAGCTTCTTGGAGCCACTGAAAGACCTTGACCCATCACTATTGTATGTACTGTACATGATCCTTATTCCATGTGTTGGCTAAGGAAATCCCAGGCCCTGAAGAGACTTTCTGAGCCTTCTCTGCATCACCCACCCACCTCTATCCTCATCTTACTTCAGTGAGCCAATTGCCTGAAGTTTTTCAGAGAAGGGTACAGAAGATTAATTTAAATATCTTCCATTATAGCTGAAATTCATTCTCCCTTTATTCTGTGGAGATGGAGTACTATGCTCTACATAAATGTCCCACAATGTATTTGGCACTGTGTCTTGGGTAATAGATTATGCTAAATCCATAGTCCATGTCCTCAAGGACTTCTCCTCCTGAAACACACATCTACTCAGACAGACATAGCCAACAAACCCTACTCGAGCAGTTCTAAATCAGAAACAAGAGCAAACTGTTCACATGATATAGAAGTTTGCATGTGAAGTGCATGGGTCATATCTAGTGTAGACGTAAATAGGGATGAATTCTCGGTCCAGAGCAAAACTGAATTCTTGTATTTTTGTTTTGTTTCGTTTTCCAGGTGCATCCCAGCCAACCCCTTCCCCACTTCAGGATCAAATTCCTGGCATTTAACACTAGTCTGAGCTCAGAATAAATCTTGGTTCACCTTTTAAAAGCCTCTTGTCTCATCCAGAAGCTAATCACCCTCCCTTACCACCCCATCCACTTAGCCCATGGTCTTTGCCACAAATTCTAAGCTCTGAATGAATATCTATAACCTGCCTGAGTTCTGGCAATAGGAGGAAAAATAGATTGGAACGTGTGAGAGAGTGGGAAGAATCCAAAGAATGGATTTCAGGAATCTAGGACCTTAGTCTTTCTTGCCCAGTTATAAGTAGGAACTTTTCCTGATTTTCCATCTGACCTGACCTTCCTCAGACAAGGGCAGAAGCCCACTCCTCTCCTCTCTCAGGCCCCCACCCCAACCTGGTCCTCTTAGCTTCTTGGTTTTTTTTTTAACTGCTCAGCATTTCTCTCCCTTTTTCGTCTAATCTGCAAATAGCTGGGCTCTGTTGATTGTATTGTTTGTCATTGTATGAGGAAGTAGTATAGGGGGAAAGTAGATTAGCACCCTGGTGAATCACTGGCCCCGTGTAAGGCCTTTGTCTTTGTTTGGCCTTGGCTATCCCTGTCAGCTCCTTCCCCCCACTCCAGCTCCTGGCCCATTCTTTTCTGGATAGATTGCACCCCCAGGGTTGCTGCTGCCCCTACCTCCCCCACTTGTTTTTTTGTTGATAGGAAATCCTTCCATTGTTGTGTCCTTAAATCAGAAATAGTCATGGCCTCAGGAAGCAAGCTCACCTACTGCCACATCGCAGGCGGTTCGGGGTAGTTGAGGGTCTGGGAGAAGTTCACCAAATAGAATCACAGATGTGAGGCTGGGGGAAGCCCTCTGTATTCTTCCACTCCACAGAAGAGATCACGGCCTCTATTTTTGGCTCAGATTTACTGAATAAGGATACTGAGTGAAAACCTCCTGGTCCCACTTGCTTCTTGCTCTCACAGAGATGGGTGCAGAGTGGGCTTATCTCCGCCAGCCGTTACCAACTGTGTAATGAAGTGCATTGTAAGCAACATTAGATTTCTCTGACGAAGGCTTCCAGTCAGCAGCCCAAAGTTGCAGTGATTAATGTTCCATTATTAAAAGATAAACTTTTAAGATTGGAGAAGGAGAGAAGTCTTTTTAATTTGGAAATTATCTTTGAATGAACTTATGGAAGGAGGTCATTTGAACTGATGTCTTAGCTTCTGTCCTCTTGGGATCCCCCTGAGGTCCGCACAGTTGTCTCCTCCTTCCTGTCGGTGTTAGCAGATAGTCATGAAAAGAGGGAAGGGAAAAGATAGGAGGCAAGGGTGAACTTATTTTTAAATGAGGAAATCTGCAGCCTTTTCCAGCACCTAGTATTTCAGGGACTTGTGCTACTCAAGTAAAGATAACTGTGCATGCCCTGACAAAATTCACACATACACACACACACACACACACACACACACACATTCCAGATAATCCCCATTTTACAGATGGGATAACTGAAGCTGAGAGAGTTTAAGTGACTTGCCTAGAGACACACAGCTAGTGTGTGTCTGAGGCAGGATTTGAACTCAGCTCTTCCTCACTCCAACTCCAGCCCCATCCACTATGCCATTTTACTGCCACTCGAGATAGAAAGACAAAAATGAAACAGTTCTTGCCCTCGAGGGGCTTACATTCAATGGGAGGAGACAACACATGTATAAATATAAGGTATATTTTTTGAGGGGAGGATAACACTGTTTGTTTGTTTGTTTTTTAAACACAAAGCACAATGTTCTGGGTGAGGTGCTGCTGGAGCTCCCAAGGGGGTCGATTGAATGTGTTTGTGTCCCTTTGTTCCAGCTGTGTGGTGGATGAGATGGACTTCTCGGCCATGGAACTGGATGAAGCACTCAGGAAATTTCAGGCTCACATCCGAGTCCAGGGAGAAGCCCAGAAAGTGGAACGGCTCATTGAAGCATTCAGGTTTGGGGGCTCAGGTTTCCTTGGTCCCAAGCTCAGAGGCGAATGGATTAAACCAGGTTTATCCCTTTCAGTTTGGACATGCCAGGTTTTAGTTTCTGAAGCTTTCTTACCTCCAGTAAATCAGAGTGCATTAACCAGCACATTGCAGTCCACCTTGACTACTCTGATTTTTTAAAAAATCTAATCTCAAATGTCTTCTCCTTCATTATCCATTCTCTTTTCTTCTTCACCCATGCCCTATGCATTCTGTTACTTTTCTTTATATTAGTTGCTTTATAATTGCTGAGTGATCACTTAACAAGCATTTATTAAGTGCCAAATAGAAAAGGTAGGAGATGGGAGAAGAGGATAATGATGTGGAAGAATTATGGGACTGGGTGAAAAGCGCTATACCAGATATTAGAGCAGATAAAAAGTTTAGACAAAACACAATCTTTGCCTTCACAGAGCTTATGGTCACCTAGAGGGGTAAGACACAAACACAGATAACTACAGTACTGAGTATTACATAGTATCCCTGAGTTGCAAAAAAGAATACTATGTACAAGATCTGAGGAGGAAGGTTGTTACCAACTGGTGGGATGGGGAGTCAGGAAAGGCAGCACCACCTTGCATCATGCGGGGAAGTCCACGTCTCAGGCACAGTGCTTTTACATCTAATTCTTCTAAACCATTCTTTCTTTTTGGAGCTGAAATTTGAGGTTTTTAGAGCTCTGCATAGGATAGCATGGGGCTAGAGTACTGTGAGGGAGATTGCATGATATCCTGGAAAAGAATATTGACCTGGGATTCAGCTCAATCAATCAGTCGACATTGATTAAGCACCTATTATGTGCCACACTGCTCTAAACACTTAAAGGTCGGAAGGCCTTGGCTCCTCTTCGACCTTGGGTGAATTATTTATATTTAACCGTGCCAGGCTTCATTTTTCCTATCTATAAAAATGGAGGGAGAGAAGGAGAGTAGATTAGAAAATATTTAAAGTCCCTTCTGGGATTAACTTCTGTGACTTTGTGATTCTGTGGTGCCTTGGCCCACCGAAATGTAAGTGGTTCCTTTCTTAAATACATAAGCTTGGTTGCACTTTTGGCTGAGTGTTTTAAATATGTGTGCAGAGGGACTAGCTCCCCACCTGGAATTGCAAATGTGACCTTTTACGATTAGGTTAATTTTATGCAAAATCCGTCCATGTTTTTAGGGGGGAATCTCAGGTGAGTCCTGCAGGGACTGGAGGGGAACACTGACTGTGCAGATAGCTCCCAACCATAGAGCTCTGGCCCCATCGGGTCTCAGTGGTGCTGGCTCCTCCTGTCCGACCCTGCTCTGGCCTGCTCTTTCTTCCCGCAGCCAGCGGTACTGCATCTGTAACCCTGGGGTGGTGAGGCAGTTCCGGAACCCAGACACCATCTTCATCCTGGCCTTCGCCATCATCCTGCTCAACACAGACATGTACAGCCCCAACGTGAAGCCTGAGCGCAAGATGAAGCTGGAGGATTTTGTGAAGAACTTGAGAGGTGAGCTGCCATGCTGGGGCTTGAGGACACAGCCCTTCATGATTAGACATTCCCCAAAATGCCAACACCTCAGCCAGAGGGAGGGCTGAGGGCTGCAGGCACACCTCCCCTCCCCCTCCCCCCTGTCCTGGTTTTGGGGATCTTCATCAGGCTTCTAGTTTCCATGCCCTTCTTCTTTCTAGTCTTCCTTGGAAATTCAGTGCAATTCAATTAGCATTTGTTAGATACCTACCATGTGCATGGCACAGTACAAGGCAGGGGCCACACAAGGGCAAAAAATTGGGGAGTAGCTTCCCTCAAGGGAAAAGGTGGGGTCCCAGTCAAAGAACAGTTTGCTGCAAACATTTTTGATGGGGGAAAGGGAATAAGGATTGACATAATGCCTACTGTGTGCCAGGTACTTTACAAATATTATCTCATTTGATCCTCATGGTATCCCTGTAGGATAGGTACTGTTATTATCCCCCTTTTTACAGTTGAGGAAACTGAGGCAAACAAAGATTAAGTGATTTGCCCAAGGTTGCACGGCTGGTAAGTTTCTGAGTTTAGATTTGAACTCAGAGCTTCCTGACCTCAGGCCTAGCTCTCCATTCACTTCAACACCAGCCACTTGATGCACACTTTTGTCATTTTCAAGAATATACAGTATATGGGGCATCTAGGTGGTGCAGTGGATAGAGCACCAGCCCTGGAGTCAGGAGTACCTGAGTTCAAATGTGGCCTCAGACACATAACACTTACTAGCTGTGTGACCCTGGGCAAGTCACTTAACCCCATTGCCTACCCCCGCTCCCCCCAAAAAAGGAAAAAAAAAACATACAGTATCTAAAACTAGCCTAACATTGTTACCAGAGAGAATTCCTGCTGCTAGTGTGATGATGATGATGATGATGATGATGATGATAACATTCATATAGCACTTATCATGTGCCCAGCATTGTGCTAAGTGCTTTATGAACATGATCTCATTGGATCCCCTCACAACAACCCTGGGAGGTAGATACTATTATTATCCCCATTTTACAGATGAGGAAACTGAGGCAAACAGCGGTAAAGTGGCTTGCCTAGAGTCCCACAGCTAGGATATTGCTGAGCTGAGTTTGAACTTGAGTCTTCCTGACTCTAGGCCCAAGTGCTTTGCACACTATGGCACCACCTAGCGGACGGATACATAGTTTTGTTACTGTCAGGAACATGTAATAACTAGAACTGACCCAACACTGTTACAAGAGGTAATCCCTACAGCCTGTACTTTAATTAGTAAAAAAAAAAAAAAGGTAGACAAAAAAAATAATAATTAGCCTGTAGACTGTATAAAAATTCAATCTTGCTAAGGTTCTTGCAGAGAGTTTCTCTTCTCCTGCAATCCATTGTTGCTCAGTGTGTGTAATAATTAGAGACAGCGTTCACATAGTGCTTTAAGGTTTGCAAAACACTTCACACGTGATAACTCACTTAGTAGATAGATATAGACATAGTACTTTCATACAAAGGAAGGTAAACTTCAACCCTGTGTCCAAAGCATCAAAATTTTTGGAATGTGTGAAATCAAAATTAATGAGATTAGTTAACATTAGTCTTTTGAAGATAATTTTCTCCTGTATTGTGCCGTCAAAAATCAGTCTTTTTATCTAGTTACACCTGAGAGTATTGAAAGTGATTTCATGAAAAGTGCTTTCTTTTCAATAAGAAAGTAAAAAATATTGGTGTACCTTTCAGTTCGTCTCTCTCCCTTGTGGTGGGTATGCCTATAAGAGGACAGATTCTTGGAGCAAAGGTAGGTCCAGGGAAAGGCATGACAGCCTTTTCTTAGACCTCGGTGAGGCCTCTCATTTATCATAACTGAGAATTGAACTGGCAGTGAGTTTCCCTGTGGACTGGATCTAACTAGAAGCAGACAAGTAGCCACTTGGGGAAGGATGGATGGTTCCAAACCAACTGGAAGGGTTGGGGTAAGGGGCCTGCTTGCTGCACACAACATCAAGGATTGTGTTTCTTCTCTAGCAGGATAGCCATAAATTAATGCCTTAAGAAAGAGCCCCAGACTGGGAGATGGGAGACCTGCATTGCTAGTGACTCATCCTGTGCTCTTTAAGAAAGAGACCTGACCTCTGTAGACCTCTGGCCTTTATTTGTAAAAGGAGGGAATTAGCCTAAATTATACAACTGAGCCATTAGAGAGGAAGTTTCCAGTGCCCTAGGGTCCAGCAAAGAAGAAAGCAGTATCTGGTTCCAGAAGTCTGGGGCCAGAACTTCTAGAGGGAAATGAATTTTTACCCAGACAGGCTGGTGGAAGAGTCTAGCTTCTCTAGAGTTGAGGAAGTCCTCACCTCGTGAGACTGGGCTACCTTATCATCACTAGCAATGACCACCACAACATCCGTTATCCCATTTTCCCATGACTTATTGGCTGAGGAATATACCCCCCAAGCACCCCCAAAGAATTGAGACAATGAGTGATATTTGCACTATTGACTCAGACTTGTAAGAATCAAAGGAGCTAACCAATCAGCTAATCAACACATCTTTATCAAATGCCTGCTGTGTGTGAATGCACAGACAGTGTAAAACAGTCTGTCCTCAGAGAACTTGGATTCTGTTGGGAGAAAAAATTACATAAATACGCATATACAAGATAAGTACAAGGTAAATTTTGTTGTTGTTGAGTAGGAGAAGGCACCAGCAGACTTCAAAGCACAGATTTAAAGCACATAGTAAGACTTAGAGATGGAAGAAACCAATCCTTCAACCTCCCTCCCATTTTATGGATGAGGAAACTGAGGCCCCGGGGGAAGGGAGTACATGACTTATCCAAAGTCACATCATACTTTTGCAACATCTCTTGCATAAGGCCCCTCATCTCCTCAGATACCCCTGTCACTCTGGTGCAGGCCCTCATCATCTGAAACCTGGATCATTGCAGTAGCTTTCTGGTTGGTCTCCCTGACACATCTCTCCCTGCTTCAGTCCATCCTCCATTCTTTTATCAAACTGATTTTCCTACAGTGCAAGTCTGGCCACGTGACCCCCTGTTTTAAAAATAGTGGCTCCTGATGACCCCCAAGATAAAATTTAAAATCCACTATCTGGCCATGAATACAATTTTTATATCACAACCTTCCCCTCAAAACATACTCCAAAGCCTTCCCTCTAATTACCCTGTTTCCTTCCCAAACTAAAAAAAAAAATGTTCCTGATTATTTGTGACCTTTTTCTATTAGAGTTTGATATTTTAGACTCTTAGTAACTGTTCCAAAGTAATGGTTGGGAAAGAGCCTCATATGGTCTTGTGTCCTGACTTAGGTGCCTTTTTCTTCCTTCTGTCTTCTTCCAAGGACATTACTAAGGTTTGTGCCTGGTACCTTAATTCTAGTGGTATGAACACTGGGTTTGGGGTCAGAGGACCAGGATTTGATCTCCAGCTGTGCTGTTTACTAGCTATGTAACCTTGGGCACTTCAGTTCCATGGGCCTTGTTTTCTTCATCTGTAAAATGGGAGCGAGGGTTACACTAGTTGACCCCCATGCTGCCTTATAGTGCTAAATCTTCTCTTGTGTACCCTTCTGCTATGATGTTTGGCTGAGAAAAAGCGAGATAGCAATGTGTCACCCATTTATTGTGAAGAAGTTCCCTTTGGATGGGCGAGAAACTGAAAGCACAAAGAAATAGCTGGATAAATGGATGGTAAAGGCATTTACTGAATATTTACCATGTTCCAGGTACTCTTGGGGATATGAGTATAAGGAAGTTAAACAATCTTTTCCTTCAAAGAGTTTATGTTGTAATGAAGGAAGACAATATATAAAGGGGAAGGGGAAACAAGGAGGGGTATGATGTAGAGGCCCGTTTCTAGGCACGATAAGGCAAAAGCCCACCCTGTTCTCATGGGCATCTTTCCAGGCACCATCATGAGCCTTGTCACTGGTGGAGCCAGGATTTTCCTAGTTGCCTGAATAATACCATCAATAATACCATCCCTGCCACACAAAGTGAAGTTGTGTGTGAAGTAGGGAGAGATCGATCTAGCAACCTGGAATTTGGAGATGATGATAGATTTATATTCCCTCCAGTGGCTTTCTCCAATATTTATATCATGGGGAAGGCTGCTGTTTGAAACTCATTAGACTAGGCTAGAAAGTTTTACACTTGTTACATCGTAATCACTTAATAAATGTTCTATCAGCGCCCTATCTAGTCATTCCAGGGGCAAAAATATTGTAAAGGAGCTGAAAGTAAGGAAAAATACCCATGCAAATGCTTGTATTTCCCTTGTCTTACAGTATTTATAGTGACTCAAAAAAATCACCTACTCCTAAGTCAAAAGACCACAGACAGTGCTATTTCTTGTGCACCGAGATAAAATCACACGGGGCTTTATGTTTTCACAACTTCATCTCCAGAAAACAAGCCCAGAATTATTTCAAATGATAGAACAGCCCTGAAGGCAGGAAGGAGGCTGGACACAATGATTTCTTAAGGCCTTATTAAGCAATTTTTAAAAACCTGAATCTTGGGAAACTTTCTGGAAAGGGCCCAAATGCTCCTCTGTTTCCCCAGAAGTGTTTATGTTTGTTCAGTGTCTTATTTGGCTTTATTGGCTGGGTAAATGCTACAGATCTGCTGAAATTCACGGTGCCAAGCCAGTGGGGTGGGAGAGAGATTTGGAGTGAGAGAGATGCAGCAAGTACAGCATCTTGGCTGGCTAAGCATAAACCAGGAAGGGCACAGTGGAGCAAAGGGGCAGGGATGGGTGCCAAGAATCACTGGAGGAAGGAGGACTCTGGTGGGAGGAGGGCCAATCATCCGGGATGGCTCTGAACCTCTCAGAGAACCTCTGGCCTCTGCTGATTCCCTCCCACCCGCTTGAGCAGGTGACCCCCTTCTGTGCATCTGTGTAACTAGCCCGTGGTTGCTGGAAGTTAGGCTGCCACTGGAAATTAGGGAACTTTAGAGTCAGCTTTTATTAAGTGCCTGCTGTGTGCCGTGCTCTGTGACAGGTGCTGAGAAGACAAAGAGAACAGTCCCTGCCCTCAAAAAAGTTTCCCCTCCACTACTCTAGATGGGGAAGAAAACATGCATGTGTCTAAACATGTGTATATCCACGAATATCTATCTACATAGATACATAAAATAGTCTACACATGTATATATATGCACACAAATAATATCTATGTACACGCAATACAGGATAATTGGGGGAGGGGACAGTAGCAGGTGGGGGAGGGGATCAGGAAAGTCCTCATGGAGGAAGTAAGACTTGAGATAAACCTTGGAAGTACCCTAGGATTCTAAAAATCAAAGGTGAGGAGGGTATGCACGCCAGGCATGGGAGCCAGCCAATGCCATATCAGAGAAATGGGAAGTGAGATGCACTTTATGAGAAACAGAAGGCCAGCTTGGCTATACTGTAGTGTTCATGGAGGGGAGTAAAGTGTCCTAACACTAGAATGTAAGTTGGGGCCAGGTTATGGAGAGCTTTAAATGCGAAACGATCAACTAATCAACAGGTTTTTGTTAAGTACCTGTTACGTATCAGGCTCTGTGCTGGGGTACAAGTGCCAAACAGTCCCTTCTTGCCAGAGGTTCCTACTTGGTCATTGAGGTAGTAGAGAGGGGCAGTTACGGGGCACAGTGGGTAGAGCACCGGCCCTGGGGTCTGGAGGACCTGAGTTCAAATGAGGCCTCAGATGCATAACACTCACTAGCTGTGTGACCCTGGGCAAGTCACTTAACCCTGATTACTTCACCAAAAAGCGAAAAAAAAAACACGATTAAGTCTTAGGAAGGGTGGCATCAGAAGGAAAGAAAATAGAGCTGAGCTGCTTGCCAGTTTCTATAGTGTCAGTTGCTGAGGTCAGATTTGAACTCAGCTCCTGACTCTAAGGCTGGAACTCTATCCACTGTGCCACCTAGCTGCCCCTGATTTCATCACTTTTAACTGTTTTAAGCCTTTAAAAAATGTTTTTCAATCAACAAAAATCTACTTTTTCCCCCTGCTGTCTTTCCCTTAACTACTGAGAAAAAAAAAATGAAACAAAACCCCTGTTACAAATATATATAGTCAAGCAAAACAAATTTCTGTATTGGCCATGTCTTTAAAAAGGGCTCCATCTGTACTCTGAGTCCATCCCCTCTCTGTCAGAAGGTCAGTAGCATGTTTCATTGTGAGTTCTCTGAAATTGTGGCTACCATTTTTACTTTTAATTAAAACACCACATCCCCTCCATTTGGTAGGATTCATGCTACTGAGTGGTCCTAAAGTGGTTATTAACTAGCCTCATCTCCCAATGCAAGCAAGTCAAACAGAGGTCATGGTTCCCTCTTAGAGATGAAACTTCTTCATGATGGGCACCTGGGACTTAAAGGAAAGTCTTTTAGAAGAGAGATGAAGCAGGACAGATGTAACTATAGTCTACTTTAACCACACACTCAGGTTAAATGATTTGGTTCAGGATGGCTGTCCTGACCTTATTCTGGTTCAATAATTGTAGAAAACATACAGATTTGGTTCTTATTTGAAATGCTTCACTGGGTGTTTCTCTGAAGTCCAGTAAAACTGTGTTTGGAACTGGTGTAAGATTGAGTGAGGTGATAGAGTCTGTGCCAGGAGTTAAGTAGTGATGCAGCCAAATCAGAGGGCCTCAGTCAGGCTCAGCTTGTGAGCCCTGCTGTACCAAGCACCACTGTCTGTCCTTGCAGGTGTGGATGATGGAGAGGACATCCCGAGGGAGATGCTGATTGGCATTTATGAACGGATCCGCAAACGGGAATTGAAAACCAATGAGGACCATGTGTCCCAGGTCCAAAAGGTCGAGAAGCTCATTGTGGGAAAGAAGCCGGTAAGTGGCACGTGGACTGCTCCCTTCCCAGGTACCAATCAGGCTAGATGATAAGGGCAGGAGAGTTGAGTTGGAGCAAAACATATATACAAGAGAAGTTATCTACTTTTCAGGAGGGCTCTCAGAGCGATTCCATCTCCAAGAACAAATTGTTCCCTGACCCAGGCAGTCCTAATATAGCACAGCCTCAAGAGAGGCAAGGTTATGAATATTAAATGTTGTAATGTGAGATGTTGGGATTTTTTTTTCAATTTTTCCTCCTCGTTTTCAAATAAGTATTTATAAGATTCCATTCATCATGCGTGCAAATACAGCCTGTCTCTGTTCCAGTGCTAAGTTTAGGGTGAAATGTCTGCATTTTAAGCAGCTTTGATGACCAGCTCCCCTGAGGGCAGAGGCATGCACTGGTAAAGTATCAGCTGCAGGTAGGAGGTTACAAGGGTACCTCCTGGCAAGCCGAGGGGACTTGGGTGGGTTCTACTGAGGCCTTGAGGACAGTAGATGCCCATTGCATGGCAATCTGTATTGATTCTTGAAGTAGCTTCCAAGGAAGGGAAACTCAGAAGTCTCCCTTCTGAGGGGGAAAGACAGCCTTGGAAAGTTGGCTGAGACCCATGCTTGCCAATTTCTATGACTGTCCTTTCCCCTAAACTGACTCTTCTTGAGATTGCCTGGTGGTCTCACTTTTCCAGCAGAGTCCAATCCATGTAAAATTCTGCCTTCACTGAGGAATTGTGTTTTATTTTGGTTTTTTTTCCTCCCCTCCGTAGGCATGACACCTCATTCTGAGTCCCTCCTATAGTGCTCTATATTGACTGTGACTTGGAGCTGAGTAGGAGGTATATAGGTTCGCTCTGGGAAGGAGGAAGCCAATAACACATCATTTCAGTTTCCTTAGCTTAACAAATCATTTCACTTTGGCTATTGCTGAAAACAGAGAAGCACCACCATGGGGGTAATGCAGGAGAAAGCAGTGTACTGGAGATGGCAATTCTCATCTCTGCTGGAACAGTGTATCTGGCCGCTAACTCTCTGAAGAATTATTTCACCTGGGATCCTTAGCTTCTTCATCTGTAAAATGAGGGGGTCTGACGGAAATGATCCTCCAATGATGGAATGATTTTTGTGATTCTGTGACCATCAGGCATAGTCTTATGGTGAGGCCCAGAGAAACTTAACAGAAAATACCTTCTGGGGAGGAAAAAACCCCAACAGCAGCAAATTCCTCCCTTCGCCCAAACACACAGTGGAACTTGAACAAGATCAATTTTCCTTCCTGTTGTAATTTAAGGACTTAGCCAGTGGTTCAGCAACCATTCACAAGTCCCCTGGACCAGCAGTGTCAAACTCAAATAGAAATGGATCCCTGCCTCTTCATAGTAACTTTAAAAAACCACACAAATTAAACATTATCTATGTTATATTCAATTTTTATTTATTTTGTTAAACATTTCTGGTTTGGGGCAGCATTCTGGAGTTTTATGGGAGAGTTTGATACCTTTGCCCTAGATCTGTTACCTACTAGGGACATCTGATGATATCTGTGGAACACTTCATGACATTCTACATTGATTATTACAGGTTTATTCAAAAGATGTCCAAATGTTCCGTCATGATTCCAAGCATTAAAAAAAAAACCTACCTGTGCCTGTGGTTTGAGAACCTAGAGAACTTTATGTACCAAAAGGGCTGATGGGGCAGCACAGTCTCCATTTGAAATAATTTCTCTGCCCTCACCTTGACTTTGCTTCTAATTAGCTGTGTTGCTAAGAGTATTCCTAGCCCTTTCTGAAAATCACAAGGATGTCGAATGATAAAATCAAGGGTTATTAGAGCAAGAAGGGATTTTAGAGGTCACCAGATTTAAATCCCTCATTCTACAGAGAAGAAGACCGAGGCCCAGAAAGATTAAGGGTCTTGCCCGAGTTCACACTGGTGGTAGATCTGAGATTCAAAGTTGGTTCCTCTGACTCCAGGTTCACCACACTTTTACCCTTAATTCTTCTGTTTCATACCTAACCCCTTCATTTATTTCATAAGTGAGATTACCTCAGAGAAATTAAGAGATTTGCCCAATAAACTACAGCAGTAGGACTTACCCAAGATCCTTGGCATTAGGACTTGGGGCCGCAGGGTTATATCTCAGAGACCTTCTAGTTTAGCTCTTCCATTTTATGGATAATGAAAGTGAAGCCAAAGGAGGCTAAGTGGTTTGTCCAAAGTCACACAGGTAGTAAGCAGGATTTGAACACAGCATCCTTTGGCTTCAAAGTCAGTCCCCTTTCCCCTGTGTCCTGCTGCTTTCCTTAATAAAGTACCACATGCACGTGTGGCATTTAGGGCTTATAGTTACATTGGGACTGATGTAAAAGTGTGATTAAGAGCTCATTTGTATATCGAATTGAGTTTGTAAGACACATTCCTTATGCTATTCCAGGAAAACATAGCATAGCATTTTCAAGTTGGAAGGAAGGTTAGTTCTCATCGAAAGAAACCTCATCATTTTTATAAATGGGGAAACTGAGACTCAGAAAGGGGAAGTGACTTTCCCAGGGTTACTCATTCAATCAAGTGGAATCCTTAATTATTTTAACAAGACTAGATTGAAATAGAACTAAGTAGTTGCTGCGATGTATCTTTTGGGAGTTTAACACATCTGTATTTTCTCCTATAGATTGGATCTCTGCATCATGGACTTGGCTGTGTAGGTATCTCTCTTCTTATTGATTCGTGACTATACTCCACACAAGATAGAGTAATCGTGTCATTTGCCCGTTTGCTTATTTACTCTAGCACTTTCTTCTGGAATATGGTCTTATCCCAAGTGTTGGCAGCTTCAGTTAATTTTCTTACCAGAAATGAGTTTGTCTTAATTTTCCTAGCCTAAAGCTTCTGTGGATTCTTTACAAAATCACATGACTCTTGCTGGCCCAGCAGAGATTTCTTGAGTTGGGGAGTCCTCTTTTTATCCAATGTCAGTACACAGTCGAGTGCAGTGGCTGAGAGAAACCTGCCCCGGTCAGCTGAGACTACCATCCAGACAGGCATCACTTCAAATGGTGCTTAATTTTGGCTGTTCAGGCTGAAGAATGGGGCCTGGGAAACAAATAACCCTACAAACAGCATATAGAAATTGTTTGGCTTCAGAGGCTACAGTTAAGCTGGTCTTTTTTCTCATAAAAATTCTCTGACTTTTCTCCATGATTGTTTTGCTATGCCTTGCTCTCCTGGTGGAGACAGACTTATCAATAGAGTTTCATACCTCCTTGTTCTTATTCTTGAGCTTTCTCTGGTCTGGGAATGAGGGGTTGTCACGGATGTCTTCTTTATGCAATGGAAGACTGATCATATGACGTAGTATTTTGTGAACCAAAAAACACCACATAAATATCAGCTACTATTATTTCCCACCCTGACCTAAGCACCTAGTAACGCTCAAAGGGATGGTAGTTTTTATATGCTAGCCTGTGGTTGGTTAGGTCAGAACTTAGCATATAGTGCATGCGGGCATTTGGGGCCCTTCACGCCCTGTTTTGTCACACCTTACAACCCCCATCCTGCCATCTGGGACAGGCATACATGCCTTTGGTCACATGGGAAGAGAGTGGGGGTGACTCCCTGCAGCCTTTTCCCCCTAAAGCAGAAAGTTAAAAAGGACATTCAGTTAGGAGTCAGGAGACCTGGGTACTAGTCTTGTCTTTCTGGTGGTCTAACTTTTTCGTCATGTAACCTTGGGCAAGTTACCAGACCTTGAAGAACCTTAGATTCCTCACTTGGAAAATATAGACGTTAGTCACAGCATCTTTTCATTGGAATGAACCTCAGGGGTAACCCAGGCCAGCTCCTACCTACAGCATGAAACCCATCTCCAGCATACCTGAGCAGTTGTCCTCCAACCCTCCTTGAACACGTCTAGGGATAGGAAAGTCACTCTCTTCTAAAGTTACTCCATTCCATTTCTGAATCACCTTCATTCTTAGAAAGTTCTTCTTAACTTAGTAAGTCAAGATGAATCAAAAGCTGCCTCCTTATCCTATTTGACTCATGGTACTAGTTCTGTCTTCTGGCACCGAGCAGAATAACACAAACCACTCTTGTACATAGCAGTCCTTGGAATATTCCAAGATAACTGTCACGCCTCCCATAAGCACTCTTTCCTCTATGCTAGATACCTCTGGGTCTTCCAGTGCCCACAAGATATGGTTTTGAGTCTCCTCACCATCCTCATCACCCTTTTCTGAACACACTCTAGCTTGTCAATGATTTTCCTAAAATGGGAGGACCCAGAACTGAACACAGTAGATACTAGAGCATCCAGATGTTCAGCTACAGTAGAGTACAATGGAACGTACCACATTCTAGACAATTCTGCTAAAGTAGCCAAAGGTCACGTGAATTTCTTTGATTGCTGTGCCTTCCTCAGGACTTAATGAAAATTAAATTGGAAATATTTTGGAAAGTTTTGTTGAAATTTAAAAACTATAAAGTGCTGTGCAAAATCAGAATTTGTCCTGTGGGCTGTGGGTCACTGACATTAATATGATGTACAAAAGATCAGACGTCATACTAGCAACTTTAGAGAGAATGGAATTTGCAAGGATTGACCCTATAGATCCTTAAAGTCCAAGAGTGTTAGGATTTGAAGGGACCTAGAGATCATCTGCCACAATTCAGAAGCACCTCTGCCATGTCCCTGAAGAGACAGGTGTCTGGCCTCTGCCTGGATCCCTCCAGTGATGCTCAAGCTATATGACAAGTTGCCCAGTTGGTGGACAGTCCTCAAAGTGATACGGTTCTTTCATATACTGATCTGAAGTCTAGTTGATAGTAGCTTCCACATGTCAACCCTCGTTTCTTCCTCGTAAACACCACAAACTCAGTCTACTCTGGCAACCTTGATATTTCTCCAGGCTAAGCATTCCCAATTCTTTCAGCTCTTTTTCATATGAAGTAATTTCCAAATCAATCATCATTGTCCATTGCCATGTTGCAGCATGGCTGAGTAATGAAGGGATGGACTAGACCCAGTGCAGGGTGACCATAGTAACATCACAGAGCAGGGCAGGAGTGGAGAATGAAAGCAGCCGCCATAAAAGATGGAAGCGTGAGGGACGTGGGACAGGGCAGACAGATACCAGCTCTTCCAGCCGGTCTGTAAAAGGTAGTGTGGTGTAGTACATGGCGACATGGACTTGGAGTCTGGAAATGCCAGGTTCAAATCCAGCCTCAGACACTTACTAGCGTGTGACCCTGGGCAAGTCATTTAACTTCTGTAGGCCCTAGTATCCTTGTCTGTAAAATGGGGATAATAATATCACTTACTACACAAAGTTGTTCTGAATGCCAGGGGGAAAGGAAGGAAATAAGTATTTACCAGGCACTAGATTAAGCACTTTACAGGTAGCTGTTATTATCCCCATTTTACAGTTGAGCAAACTGAGGCAGGCAGAAGTGAAATGACTTGCCCAAGGTCACCCAGCTAGTAAGTGCCCAAGGTCATATTTGAACTCAGGTCTTCCTAACTACAGGCCTAGCACCACTGCGCCATCTAGCTGCCTCAAATGAGATAAACAGATGCAAAGCACTTCACAATCCTTAAGATTCTGTAAATAATGTGTGTTTATATTTAGTTATTGATCTATATGCATATATACACATACATATATATTTATATAAAATATATTGTGTGTATAACAGCATCATGTATTATACATATTAACATATGTGTGGTATATTAATGTATAAATATTAGATATTATTTTATTTCTATTGATATCTTGTTTTTATATCTCTTCTTTTTAGAATATATCCTTAATAATTGCACTTTGCAATCTTTAAGATGCTTTAAATAATGTTAATGTCATATATTAACATATAAGTGTTAGATATGATTTTGTTTTTATTGGTATCTTTTATTTTTACCTCTTTACATTTTAGCATATATCCTTACCCCAACTCCTTCCCAGCAAACTGATCTTTATGAGAAAAAAGGGAAGGGAAAAGCAGGTCAGCAAAACTAATCAATGCATCAGTCCAGTGTGATAGTATAAGCTGTGTCCCACACCTGTAGTCCCCCACCTCTGCAAGGAAGAGAGGGAAGGACGCTTTCTTACCTCTTCTCTGGGATCTCATCTCTTCTCTGGATCGTTGTGATTACTTAGTCTCGTTCGGGGCAGGTTGAGGATTCCTTTGTTTTTGCTTATTTGCTTTACATGGTTTCAGGATCGTGTTTGCCTTTGTCTTAGTTCTGCTTACTTATTCCACATAATTCCATAGAAATCTTCCCAGGGTTCTCAGGATTCTTCCTGTTAATTTTCTATGGCACAACAATATTCTGCTGTATTCATGCTCCACAGTTTATTGAGTCTCTCCCCAGGCAATGGGCATGTTATTTTGTTCCCAGTTCTTCATCACTGCAGTAAGTACTGCTGTGAATTTCCTGAAAGATAAGGGTCCTTTCTTTCTGTCTTTATTCTGCTTGAGATATATGTCCCACAATTTAGTCACTTTTTTTTAAAGTGTAATTCTAAATGGCTTTCCAGCCTATTTGGACCAATTCCACAGTTTCACCAATAGTGTAACTGTGTGCCTATCTTTCCTTAGCCCCTCCAATTTTGACTATTGCCATATTTTATCATTTTTGCCAGTTTGCAATGTATGAGGTGAAACTTCAAACCAATGCTACTTATATCTTAGTTCCTATTCCAGCACTAACCTCTCAGCCTGAATCTCTCCTTCCCCAACTGGTTTCCCATTCATTTTAACCCTTGGATTTTAGCATTCCAGAGAAACCCTGGTACCATCCCCTTCCAACATTTGCTAAACTGTTGCTTGTGTCAACCCTTCCCCTAGTAGGATCAATCAACAAGTATTATGTGTACTTCCTATGTAACACGAATTGTACTAGGCCTTGGCAATACAAAAACAAAAATGAGACATTCGCTGCCCTCGAGAAGTTTGTGCTTTGTTGGAATGGCAACACAAGTAAAAGAAATCCATGATGATGGAGGGTGGGGAAAAGAGAAGCACTAGCAGCTGTGGGTATCAGGGGTGAGATGGGGAACATGAAAACCCAGAGAGGAAAGTATAATTCCCAGTTTTAAATGCTGCAGAGAGATTAAGAAGGATGAGGATAAGAAAAGGGCCATCAGATTTGGCCATTAGAGATCACTACTAACTTTGGAGAGAGTAGTTTCGGTTGAGTATTGAGGTTAGAAGTCATGTTACCAAAGGTTAAGATGTGAGAGGAGATAAAGTGTAACTAATGAAGCCACCTTGAAATTAGGAAAACTGTAATGAGTAGGGTTAAGTGAGGTTGTTTGTTGTTTTTTAAAGAATAGAGGAGGCTTGGGTGTGTTTATAGGCAGCAGAAAGAGAGAGATTAAAGATTAGAAATGGGGGATAGCTGGGAGAAGGGAGTCTGCTAGATCTAAGGGGTATGTAGAGGAGTTGACCTTGGTGAGGAGGAGGGCCGGTATTTCATCAAATATGATAAGGAAAGAAAGGAATAATAAGGGATAATAGCAAAGGGTTTTCAGGTATAGAAAAAGGGAGAAGGGAGAGCTTATGGTGAACAGCCTTGATTTTCTCAGTTAAGGTAAGAGTCTCTGTTTGGTAGTGAGAAAGAGGGGGGTGCTATGGAAGACTTGAAAAGAAAGGAAAAGGTTTAGAATAACTGCTGTGGGGAGTGTGATTGAGAATCATTTAGGGAAGAGTTAAAGGATTTCCTTGAGGGGGTGAAGGCCCAGTTGAGATTAAATAAAATAAATCTGTAGTGGAACCAGTAAGTGTGGTTTAACTGCATGTGAGTAGTGGAGGAAGAAGATGGTGGCAGATAATCCAGACTGGGGTTGGCCAAGGCATGAGTGTTGATAGGATGAGAGAGTAAGAAAACAGAGGCTGTGTGATATTCAACTGGTTGACTATAAAGTTGAGATTGGGAAGGATGGAGGGAACTGGAGGATAAAGAATAAGTACAGAAAAAGTGAGGCATAATGAGAAATGAAATGATAGGAAGTTAGCATCGGACCATGGAATTTCAGAATTATTCATCATGGAAGTCAAACACATGTAGGTGATGGCAAATCAAGCATGTGAGAGCATCTCAGGGTCCTGTACATAGTTGCCACTAGGATCTGAGTTCTTGGCTCAGGCAGTAGCAGGGATGGGACGTATATTTGGTGAGAGGGGACCTCAAAGAGGGAGAACTTACTTCTTGATGGTGGCCGAGGGGAGTGGGAGCAGGGGCCAGGCGTAGAGAAGAGTGAAGCCACAGTGGGACTGTGGGTTTCATCATCCGGTTCTCCCCCGTACACCAAATCCCCTCCATTCATGACCATAATAGGAAAGGAAGAGGAATGCTCTTTTCCGTTTTCGGGTATATCCCAGGTCTAGCTGGCAGATCCATTCTCCTTTATTTGCCCATTTCTTTAAGGCAGTCTTGAGGCAAGGCTTCTGGAGCAGGTTGAGTGAGATGCCAGTGAGGGAACTTCTCTGTTTGTAGAAGGAAACAGGCCCCATCCTGACCAGCCTCGCCTCTTCTTTCCCTTGAATCTCATCAAGAGGAGCATTTTCAGGCTGATCCAGGGGCTATAAAAAGGTACTGAGCATCAGTCGCCCAGTGACTTTACTGAGAGCCAGCTTACTGCATGCTAGGTGCTTTGGAGATAGAGAAATCACATAAAACATGAATCCCATTCTTAAGGAGCTTACAATCTAATTGGGAAAACAAACGCATATTAAAAGTTAGTAGAAATACACATGGCAGTACATGATATATCAAGTGAGTGGCAGAAATGACTGTGGGCTGACTCCGTGTAAGTAGGTAAGATCTCAGCTCGGTCTTGAAGGTTAAGGTTGGACTGGTCAGGGAGGGGAGGACATTCCAGGGGAGGACCTGAGGTGCTCAAGGTAGCAAGGTGGAAATGTGCAAGGGATCTTCAAAGGAAGAGAACGCTAGCTAGCCTAGCCTGGCAGGTGAGGCTAGAAGAAGGAATGGGGAGCCAGAGCCTAGCAGGCCTCGCATGGCACCCTAAGAAACATGAACTTCATGTGATAGACACTCGAAGGTCATTGAAGCTTTTTGATCAAGAGAGTAAGGTTCTCAGGTTGGTCTTTTAGGAAAATGAATCTGGCAGCGGCATGTAGGAGGAATGGGGACGAGGGACAGAGGCCTGAGGCCAAGATGTTAGTGAGGAGAATATTGCGGTGAGTCAGGAGTCTAGGGATAAAGTGACTGAAGTAGTGGGTTTAAAATAGGCAGGGAGAATTCATTTGTTACCCAATAATAACTGGTCTGCCTGAGAAGAGAGGCAGACATGGAGTAGAGCAGGAATGCCGTTGGAAAGAACTAGGGTCAGGAGCCCTGGAGGAGGGGGCAGAGGATCACTGGTGTCTGGTTAGCTGGCCTAGGAAGGCGAGGGTGAGGTCAGCCCTGTGCCGGTCAGCAGCATAGGCAGATCACCTAGGAGTCAGCACCTTGGCCTGGCTGTAAGGGAGTTTCTAGCTTATGACTGACATCATTACCTTTTCCTTTCCCACAGGTACTTTCCCTTCCCCATCGGAGGCTCGTTTGTTATTGCCGGCTCTTTGAAGTGCCAGATCCAAATAAACCCCAGAAGCTTGGATTACACCAGCGAGAAATCTTCTTATTTAATGACCTCCTTGTGGTAGGTCACTTAACCGCAGTGTATCCTCACATACACTCAGAACCTGTTCTGGAGTTTTCCTGAAACCCAGGTCATTTGTCATGGGTCTCAGGGCCCCCAGTGACACCTTAGAGATCAGCGCATCCAAGGATTCTTAACCTGTGCTCCATGGTCCCTTTGAGGGCCCACAGATACAATTCGGGGCAGGTCTGTGGACTTGGATAGGAAAAAACTCACATCCTTATTTTCGCTCACCTCTAACTGGAATTTAGCATTTCCTTCAATTATTTGTGAATGTAGGCAGCAAACCACAGTGGCATTAGCCGTACCTATGACTTTGTCACCAATAGAAATCACAGATATTTTCATATCATATTATAGTTATCTTGAAATATAGTTTATGCTCATCCCTACCTCAAAATTACTGTAGTTATTAGACCTGTAACTAGATCACAGGGGATTTGAGTCTTCCTGTCTACTGACTCTATTTCAATAGGATTAGCTCTGTGCTTTATTTTAATATACTTAAGAACATTATTCTTAGAGGTGTGCCCATAGACTGGCAAATCGTAAGCACTGTATTCATGGACAAAACAGTCCACACTACCAAAAAAAGGTGAACCCCTGATCTAGTCCAGCTGTTTCATTTCACAGATTAGCAAGGAATTTGAGGTTTGGGGAAGGGTGTTTCTCTACTGAGTGGACAGAGAACTAGATTTTAGACTTTGGCATTTCTAGCCCATAGGTCAGTGTCTGTCTTTGCTACAGAAGACATTTCTCCCTGATTCCTAGGTCCCCTTCTTATGAGAACACAATAGCCTTCTTATTGATTGCTACCCTCTGTAGTTAGTTTGGGCATCTGCTTTGGGCACCAGCTGTTAGCTTCTAGAAAGGAATATTCCCTTCCCCAGGATGGGACCTGACTCTGAAGAGAGTAACTGATGAGCAGTGTTTTGTATGTAATTGGCTTTGAGGCCAGTTAGAGAATGGAGTTTTCCTATTCTGTGTGGATTGAAGCATCAGGGTTCATGAGCTTAGAACAGTGGTTATCTTACATCTAGGTATTGTTTATGGAAAAGAAGACAGTGAGGTCTTACTTCTTTGCCTTATTTCTGTGTTTCACTCACTGACTTCCACAAAGGGAAACTTTGGCACTAAGTCCACAAGAGTATACCTCTTTGCATTACTTTCAGCATAGGCTTTTTCAAGCATGTAAATAAAAGTGCTTCCTGCATCCACCCTGGACCATAGGATTGTAATGAAGCCTGCAGTGTGACTCTCAGGAGACTGTTTCTCAGGTCCACAAAGGCTTCAGAGTGAACAAAAGCCATCTGATGAATTGTAGCACAAAAGGGCGTGTTGGTGCAAATGAGATCAGTCTCATGAGCAGGTGTTCAGAATCCTCCCCAGTGTCAGCAAAGACTTTTCTCACTGTGAGAAAAAGAGATTTAAAGGGCATCCAGGTGGAAGGGGAGGGCAAAGACTCTGCTATGGGAAGCATATCGCATATTGGGGGAGAAGGAGTGAGCAGAGAGAGAAGACACATGAGAGACACAGACAGACAGAATGTGTGTGTACATTTCTCCGAACTGGAAGAGAAGAGAAGATGGAAGGCATGGATTATCCTAGGATCTTTCCCTGTGGCACTGTCATTAATGGTATAATACATTTGCTCTCCTCAGGTCACCAAGATCTTTCAGAAGAAGAAGAATTCTGTGACATACAGCTTCCGCCAGTCTTTTTCCCTTTATGGCATGCAGGTCCTACTTTTCGAGAATCAGTGTAAGTCTGTCTCTTCCTCCCCCATTTTCTCTCCTCATGAAGAGCCGGATGTCCTAAGAGTGTTTCAGGGATGGACCATTACTGCTGTCTTAAAATATCTGAGTAACTTTGATGTGGGAGAGTGATCAGAGTTGATCCCCTTAGCCCAAAAGGGCACAGTTAGGAACAAAGCATAGAAAAGGCAGGTTTAAGCCCAATGTAAGGAAAAACTCTCTAACAGTTGGTGGCCCCAATCAATCCACAAGCCTTAATTAAACTCCTGCTCTGTGTTGGATACTGGGCTAGGCGCTAGGGATACAAAGTCAAAGATGAAACCGTCCCTGCCATCGGGGAGCCTATACGTGGAGTGGCCTGTCTGGGGAGGTGATGAAATCCTCATCACTGGGCACCTTTCAAGAGGAGGCTAGATGCTGTCTTATTAGAAATTCTATCAAAGAGATTCCTATCCATGTAGGGTTTGAATTAAATGACCCCCAGGGTCCCCAACAGCTCTCAAATTTTGTGGAAGCTCATTTTGGGGAGCTGTCACTCTTCCAGCTTTAGGACTTGCTGTGCCTTCCTTTCCCACTCCTGGTGTCCTTTCACCTCCACCCCCAGAAGTGTACTAGGGGAAAGGCCAGGGAGTGCTGTCTCCTGGGTCAAACTCCTGGGGAGGTAGGGAACTACAAAGTGATGATAACACCAGTATTATAGGCACATCTCTGTCTCCATCTCCATTTCTCTCTTACTGACTCTTTCCCTCTGCTTCTGACTGTCTCTGCCTCTTTCTTCTTTCTTTCTTCCTTCTCTCCCCTGCCCATCTTCCCCACCTCCACTCTTAGCTATGAAGGCAGTTGAATGATGGAGATTCTTAGGAATCTAGAAGCTGAAGCAAAAGGCATCAGAAAGGCTAGGAGATGACCCAGGAGAGACTGTTTGGGCGGCTTTCAGCGCTCTTCTCTTTTCTGAGGTTAGGGGTTACCTGCTAAGCAGCCTCTCTTTCCCTTGAGACCCATGGGCTAGATTGGGCTGGGCTGGGTTCTGCTCCCCTCTGCTCCCCTGTGCTGGGACGGGGTCTGTGATTTAGGTGTTCCTGCTATTGAGCCAGCGTTCCAAAGTTCTGCTGCTGGGAACACACTGACCTTGGAGCTGTGGCTGGGGTGGGGTTGAGGATTGTCTCATCCCAGATGGTGCTGCTTGAAGAAGGGTCATTTGAGGGATGATAGTAATGTTTTTAAAACAAACACAGTTCTTCCAGTATTGGCTTTGTCTTCTTGGGAAGCTTTTTGGCCCACTTTGTATTTATAGGTTAGGGCATTCCCAAGAACCCAGCAGTTGAAACGCTGAGGACTCTAGTCTTATGAGAGGATAAAGAAAGGTCACATTTGTAGCTTCCCAGCTTAGCCACTAGGACTGGGAAATAGTAATAATTAGCAGTAGTAATAATAGCAGCAACGGCATGAATGCGTATTCACCGTGGGCAGTGCCAGCCGCTGCACTAAGCGTTTTTACAAATATTTTCTTATTTGATCCTCACAACAACCCTGGGAGGTAAGTACTGCAATCATCCCCGTTTTTACAGATGAGGAAACTGAGGCAAACAAATGTGAAGTGACTAGCCCAGGGTCACACAGCTAGTAAGTGTCTGAAGCCAGACTTGAACTCAGGTTTTCCCAACTCCCAGCCTGGCATACTCTCCACTGTACCACTGAGCTGCCCCTGGTATAACCAGGGACCTAGGAGGATTTCTGCCTCACTGTTATCTTCTGTTCTTGTATAAGAGACAGCAAGAGCCAGTGGTGGAGCCAAAAAGACCCTGGGTTCAAATCCTGCCTCAAAGCCCGGGGCTTTGTCCACCATACCACCCAGCTGAGCACACTGGCCAAGTCTTTTAAAGGCTTGAGATCTGGAAGCTCACACTCTGAACTGGGTAAAAAGCAAGCCCTGAATTCAGGGAGGAAAAATTGACTGAAAACAAACAAAAACATGAATTACACTCATTCTCTTTTCCTTTACAGATTATCCTAATGGCATCCGGCTCACATCTGCTGTCCCAGGAGCAGACATCAAAGTGTTGATAAATTTCAATGCACCCAATCCCCAGGACAGGAAGAAATTCACCGATGACTTGAGGGAATCAATCGCAGAAGTTCAGGAAATGGAAAAGCATAGAATAGAGTGTAAGTACAACGGCTCATACACAGTTTAAGCCTGGACATATAAAGACACTGTCTGGCTCAGGCTGGAGATCCTGGTGTGGACTCCACACACCCTCAGATCTTTCTGGCTTTGTGACTGGTGGGAATTTGAGGAAACCTTCCCCACCCAGATGGGGGGTGGAAATCCACAGACCGGACCCCATTCCATGGGGGCTGAGCACTGACTGACTGCTGAAGTGAAAGCTGAGTCTCCCCCCCCACCAGCTTCTCTTCAGTGGCGTCGGGTCAGTAATCACAATAATGATGTCAGATGAAATCACTTTGAAATCTTAAATTGCTAGGTAAATGTCACTTGTTATTATTACCATTATAATTTTTGTAAATAATGTCAGTGACCACTTGAGCTCTCGCAGAGAGGCATATTGCCCCTGGAATTACACCAACTCAGATGGCCCATCCTTCCTCTCCTAAGGTGGTAGGAGTCAGAGACAGAGGGGGAAGCCAAGAGAAAGCCTTAGATAAATTGCCCATCAAGCCAGGGAGATGATGTGACAGACTAGACTTCTGAGGCCCAGATCTGCCCATTAAGTCAATCTGCTTCCCTTCAGGAGCTGGCAGTCCCCCTCTCAGGGTTTTCACCACTTGGCCTCGCCCCACTAGGACATCCCTACATTCCAGTCTAGATGAGCTCCCTTTCCCACTGGTGCTGCCGTGCTTTGCATTGGTAACCATGAGAACATGCATCGATTCTATCTGTTTCAGCGGAGCTTGAAAAACAGAAAGGAGTCGTCCGGCCCAGCATGTCCCAGTGCTCCAGCCTGAAGAAAGAACCCGGCAATGGGACCCTGAGCCGTGCCTGCCTCGATGACAGCTATGCCACAGGCGAAGGCCTGAAGCGGAGTGCACTCAGCAGCTCACTCCGCGACCTCTCAGAAGCGGGTAAGAGCCAGGTTTAGTTCTGCCTTCCTAGTGCAATGCATGCAAAACTCGGAAAAAAAGCCCGACAGTTTGTGCATGCATTGTGCCCATGGAAAGAAACACAGCAGAGCCCCAGGCAGGGCATGTGTGCAAGGTTTCTTAGCAAAACATTGTTTGGTTGTACTATTTTTTTTTCCCCGTGAAAATTCAAATAGCTTTGACAATACGAAACAGTTCTAGTTTTTGCTGTTTGTGCTTTTAAAAGAGAAGGAAGACAGAACCCAATTTTAAGTGTCATCACGGAGGGGAACTTGGTCTAGGAATAAAACTAGTTAGTTTTACTTTAAGTATTTTTTTTCCTTTAAGAATTTTTAACAAGTAGAGAGGGACAGCAAGAGAACAGGGCCCCATTAGCAGCTGTGTCCTGTGTATTTTGTGCTGAAGTTTTTACCTGTGTTTTACACTGATGAATGAAATTGAGTGAAGCCCTACTAAATTGTGCCTAGAACCGGACACCCCCTCCTTCCTCCCCTCTCTCCCTCCCCCAGCAGAGGCACCTCGTGGTAGGCTCTCTCTAAGCAGGATATTCCTTCTTTTCCCTTGGTTGTCTTTACCTTTGGCTTGAGTTGTCTGTAGAGAACTCTAGCCCTGATGAGCAGGAAAAGTCCTGATTGCTCGGCACGCACGTCCTAAAATGTCATTGCTCCTGAGGCGACTGAAATCCATTTGCCGCCAAACTCAGCATTAGCAGCGAATAGAATGGTGTTAAAAAAAAAAAAGCCCTCAGCAAAAAGAGCAATTATGTGCCTCTCTTCATTGCTTCGTTTCCGTATTTGTTTTTTGTTTTGTTTTTTTGCTGCCAGTCATTAATACCCAGCAAACAGCGGGTCCCTCCAGTCCATCTCCCAGATCCCTGGAAACGCGCAGTGCCCAAACCTTTAGCGGGCTTCTAGCGCCAGTGGGATAGGGACACTGGGGCCGTGGCGGTAGAAACGAAGCCGCGAGGGGGAACGACCAAGAACCAAACCATGTTAGCTGCCGGTGAATCCTAATGCCTGGCTTGTTTTTAACCGCTGCACCTTAGCATAGCCATGATCCTCCAGCGCCTGTATGTTCTGTGTCTGTTCAGTGGCAAGATGGCTTCTCTGTGAAAGTAGCAGGGAGGAGGTTCCAGTGGGGTGGCCACTTAGAGACTCAGCTGTCAGATGGCATGGATAGGTGTCTAGTACAAATCTCTTTGCTGTGACCTTTCAGATGATTAGACCATCTATTCCTTGATATCCCCATCTGCCTCACAGCCAAGAACACCACAAGTTCTCACCCGCTAATGTGAATTAGTCCTAGACTAGAAAAAGAATTTCATAGTCATTGACTGATTTTTTTTTTTTTTGAGGCTCATTTTAGGCTGAGACGAGCTATCCCATCTCCAGCCTACTGGTAACAGAGTGGTATAGCACCCACCTGTAGACCACTGGGAAGGAATGCTGATTCCACTATTTCTTCCCATAGGATTTTTCCATCCCAGTCTCTCCAGCATTGCCACATAAGCCATGCTCAGGCAGAAGGTTGTGTGTCATCTGCAAGATGATTCCTTCTGCTCATGACATCATTCCATGTATCAGCAGCATATACCTTGCTCCTGGCGCGCTCATTTCCAAAAGTTTTTTTTTCTTTTTTTTTGGTTTTTTGTTTTTTTCCACAGTTCAAAACTGAAATCCATTTACCACATAAAGGGTTTAAGCAATGGATTTGTTAAACCCAACTAAACTTAATTGTAGGCTCTCTGCCCAGCAAAGGCTATGGGTCACTTCTGTTTGGTTCTGTGCAGTGGGAAAATCCAACCAATTCCCTCCCTAACTCCTCGCCTATTATTTGGCATAAATACCAAGACTTCTGGTAGCTGGTTATGCTTGTGTTCTTATCCAGGTCTTGTCATTCAAATTAAGCTAAGAGTCACCTTTAGGACCCCTGAGGCCCAGCTCTTTTCCTAGTCTGGTAGAGTACCTTCCGCCATAAGACCTTTGGACCCTGACCATGGTTCCTTTCCAGAACTAAGTAATACAAAGAAGTTTAGTCTGGGGCATCTCCAGCTTGTCTGTACTCCCCTCTCCCACCCTTCCATTAAGCAAACAGAGGTTCAAGGTCATCAAGTGACTCAGGTTAGTTCAGAAGCCAGAGCAGTTGGTCATTTCTTCTCCAGAGTTTGGGGTCAGAGGGTGTGAATCTTGATTCCATCCAATAGGAAGGATTAAGGCCAGGGTCATGACTTTTTCGTTATATCTTGGATTAAAGTATTTGTGGAGAAAGGAATATTGGCACTGTTTTATTATTGTTCTTATTAATAATAGCAGTAATACTATTTTCAGATCCTGAGTTGAAAGGGGCCATTAATCTAGATCTACAACCCTCTACAAAGCCCTAAAGTAAAAACATGGAATCTCTTATGATATTGATTCTAGTATCTTCTCTGTTCCATTCACCTTGAGAGAAGGGTAAAAGGAGAGGTCTAGGGTAGGTACACATAGCCTAGACTTATTTGGGCGGGGGAGGGGGGGGAGAGACGGGTAGCAGGATGTCCAGGCAGAGATGGATTTAAAAAGTGTCCTATCATTTTGCCAAGAAGATGACTGAGGCTGCCTTGGAAGATGCCTGTTCCTCTGGAATCTTAAGTCTTCTGAGAAGTGAAGTACAGCTTTGGAAGCTGTCCTGGAGAAGGAGGCCGAGATTATAAGAATGACCAGGCCGGAAAGTAAGGTCCTCAGACAAAGAGACCATGTCATCTTCTTGTCCTATATTCCCTCACAGCCTTGCATGGGGTGTTAAATTCTCAGAAAACAAAATATACTGAATTAGTATAAACAGCTGGTGAGAAACTCAAAAAGGCTCTCCTTGCTAGGTGACCAACTATTCATCCCCAGGACTCTGTTAGCCAATGCTACCAAGACTGGCCTTATCAGAGCAGCCCGGAGCTAGACTGACTCAGAGCTCCGCTTGTGCAAATAAAGCAAACATCTTTACTTCTCAAGGCTCCTTCTGTCTAGACAAAATGGATCCTAGATTCCTAAATATAGAGCTGTGAGAGGCCTTAAAGGCCACCTAATTCAACTCCCTCATTTTCTAGATGAGAGAACTGAGGTCAAGAAGTGGAGAGTGACCTCCCCAGGGTAGGAAATAGCAGAGCCAGGATGAGTGACTTCTCAGTCGTTATCAGCAAAGGCAGGTTGGCGTCTGCATTTCAGGTTAGTGTGGCAATGCTGAAGAAATGCAGGGCCACCTTGCTAAGGATTTTATTTAACCCAGAGAAGTATTCCCCAATCTCTGCTTACAGAACGTGCACAGCTAAGGAGTGAAGATGGCAAGAGCTTCAACTTTCCGTTGGCCGAAGGGGGGGGCTGGTAGATCCTTCAGTCTCTCCCAGTGGATCGCCCCACCAGCCACAGCCAAGGTCCATCCAGTTACAGAAACCCTATTTCCTGTTGCCAGCCTTAAAGATGCTAAGAAAAATAGAAACTGACTGAAGGCTTGGCTTCCAGCCTTCTTAAAACTTCTCTTTGCTCAGTAGATGATGAACATTATTTAAAGTTTTTGAGAAGGACTTTCCAGACCCACCATGTATTGCCAACAATCCGTGCATGAGCCCATGGGGCTGCTCTGCAGAGCTGGCGTGGGGCTCCAAACACATGCCTAGGCTAAGGGAGGCTGAGGCTGCCCACCCACTCACATCAGAGAACAGCTTACACAGGGCCATCAGCAGCACAGGTCCTAGAGGCTATTGCTGCATTCTGCAGTCTGCTCAGTATGCTGACCGATAGATCAGATCCCCCGGGGGAGCTGCTGGCCAATAGTATGGTGTCTGTGTGGCTCCAAGCCTTTGTTCAGCATTTATTAAGTACCTGCTATGTACCAGGCACTGTAAAGAACTCTTTGTGGTCCAGATGATTAGGAAACCTGGCTGCTGGTGTCACATCTGCATTCAGCAAGACAGGACATCCATCAATGAGGGCCTGGTATGTAGTCAGTGACATTTTACTTCAAGTTGTGGGCATCTGTTAGGTTGAGGTGTGTGCACACATATGGGGGAGGAGAGAGAGAAAGAGGGTACACTTGTGGGTGGCTAAGTAACTGAGGTATGTATGTTTGCTTATGCATGTGCAGACACATCTAGATTTCTGCACACATATTGGTGTGCATGAAAGTATGTATGTGTACATATGTTTTTATTACTTGCCTTTGGAAAGTCTGCCTCAAAAAGACCACACCCTTTGACATACCTAACCACATTTGGGCACAAGGCTCAGAGAAATAAAGTCTAATCAGTATGTTGAAGAAGAAGAAGAAGAGACAGCTAAGCTGCAGTGTCCCAAAGACTCTTCATCGACATTGGAAGGGAAGGAAAATTCTTTGGAGGAAGAAACAAGCTTCCATGATAACATCCTAACGGCAGGCCTGAATTTATTTGTATAGTGGACGATGGCCTACTCTTGCTTGTGACGAGCATGTAAGGAGAGCTCCATGTCTGAGTTTTCTCTAGGGATCCTTTCTCTCCCTGCAAAAACAGGCTGTGAAGCTCACTCCAGGAAAATTAGGAGGGCTTTCTTTCCCTCTTTAGGACCCAGTAGGGTACAGAGTGAGGTCTGGAAGGGCCCTTTAACCAGGCAGGCAGAGGGAAAGATAACCTTTCTCATCTCCCAGACCTCACGTGGCTCAGACTGATCTTTCTTTCAAATAGAAAAAAAAAATTTCTTTGAGGGGTCTGTCCCCCTGAGTTGCTTAATTACTAAGCCTGTTTTCTTGACCAGGTGAGCCTTCTTGGGCCACAGCAGGGCTGAGGGGTGGGGAAAGGGGGAAGGGGTACATGTTTTTTACCCTCTGCTTTTTACTCAGATTGTAAAAGGAGAGAATCCCTTCTCTCCTCAGGTTAGAGAGGGACAAGGTAAATGGTTTTTCCTTAGGGTTTTTCAGACCTAAAGAAAAAAGGGCCAAGTATCAACCTTCCTGTGTCCTGGGTGTCTTATAGCTGAAAAGTGGAAAGATACTGAGTAGGACATTTGACCCACTCCATTCTCTTGGTAAGAAGGATCAGGGCCTTCCCATTAGAGCCTTTCTAGTTCCACATTCCTGGTGTTCAGCTTTGGGTAAAGTTGAGTCAGTATCCCATATTTAGCTCAGATGCTTCCAGTTTTTGAAGGCCTGTATCAGGCTCTGTCCAGCTGGTCTAACCTAGAGGTATAGACATCATGGAACCGGGTGGAAAAGGGAAGGCTAAGGACTTACATGACCTTATACAGGAAGGATTTGTCCTGAGATTCCCTGTTTCAATGCTACCTTTCTGTCTTCCCGTACACCCAACTTGGGCCACACAAGGTGACCTCTGCCCACGTTGCACGACCACACACACACACCACAGAGCCCTAACAAAAGGGGACACTTGCAATTTTGGCTGGTCTAAAAGAATTCAAAAAGAAAAAAAAAATAAGAAAATTAAGTTTAGTTTCCTCCTAACCATTCCCCCCACAAAGGATGTATGAAATCCACTGAGGTTCAGTAGCTTCACAGAAATTTTTTTTTCTTTTGTTTTTTAGTTTCTAAAGAAGCCTCACTTTTCTTCCCTATCTCCTTATTGGCCCCTGTCCCTTGTTCCCATTTAATCCAGCACTTGGAAGCTCCTCAGTTACCCAGAAATCTTTGAAAAAAGCAGATGTACCTGACATCTGGGGGAAGATGGTCTTTCCTTTTTTAGAATCTGGGCAGAATCGGATTCTCCTGACTGTGAAGGTATCCCTCCTGTCCACTGTGCCCCACCCCCCTGGAGAGACTGGAATTGGAGTGTAGGAGATGGTCTTTAAATTTGGGGCTGTGTTTTGTTTTTTGTTTATATGTGTGGTGTTTTTTTTTTAAATACCTTTTTGCACCTGAATGGCTATTTGCTTCTCCACTGAGCCTCCTCCCCTGGGCCCCAGGTGTGGGCCCCAGAGGCCTGCAGCTGGGAGCCTTCTCGAAGCTGAGCTTGTTGGTGCCGGCCCAGACCCTCCATAGTTGCGCTTAGAGGCTCCTGTAGCAGCGCCAGCTCAGGCCATAGAGAGGAAATTGCTCAGCCAGATCTTGTGACCGGTCTCTAACCTATGGTATTGCATGTTCTGGGCAGGGAAGCGTGGGCGACGCAGCAGTGCAGGATCGCTAGACAGCAATATGGAAGTAAGTAGGAAGCGCCTGATGTCTAGCTGGATGTGACGATGTGCGTTTTTCAACCTTTATTTTATATACATGTATTTTTTTTGCTCCTCTTCTTCCTATATATACATAAATATATATACATATATATGTAAATACACACACACATAGCCCTCTAACAACCTGCCTGCCTGAGATAAAGTGCATGCCTGGGCTACTCACTCCGTCCTGGTACAAAGCTTAAAAGTGCCGAGTGCCACTTACTGGCTTGTTTTTGATGAAACCCGGGTTGTTTTGTTTTTTGTGTTTTGGTTTCAGCTAACCCTGTCTCCTGTGTTCCCACAAGCATGGTTAATGAGCACCTGCCCCTTTACCACCCCCTCCCCATTCCTCCTCTCCCACCACAGCCCCAGCTCACAGGCCACTCCCCCTTTGTTCTTGCTACTTGGATGTTTTAGCTGACCTCTTGACTTCCATGCTCAACCATCTCCATCGCTTATTTTGACGTTTAAACTGCTCAATGTCTGCAGTCATGACACCATGGAATTGCATAGCTAGGTTGTGGGAGGAGCTAAGCCAATGAGACAGATGAATTCAATGTGGATTTCATGAGATTTCATTCATCTTCAAATCATTTATATTTACTGTTCATGTCAACTTCAGCTTGCAGATCCTTTCTTACCTCTTTTTTTTTTGTTCTGTTTTGTTTTGGGTTGCATTAGGTGTAGGATAAAGTTTATAACCTAGGTAACTTGCCCCAAGCATAGCTTGTCCTGTCTCCCACCCACTATAGCCTTTAAAAACCTGAGAAGAGGTAGACCACTGAAGGCTGTACTGGAGCTACTGGACCAGTTAGGAGAGCGCAAAAGACTGAGTGAAATGAAGCGATTTGCAAGGGAAGGGGACCAGGCTGGCGCAGCCCAACCAGTCTGTTTACCACACTAACTGCCAGCAGCCAGAAAGTCCTGATAATGGTCAGCCCAAAGCAGATAGGACTTTTCCCTCTTTATATTTTTCTTACCACCCAGCGGTCAGGAAAGGATTTCCCAAGCCAGCATTTTCGCTGCTCTTTAATTGGAAAGTTACGGAAAACACTCCTCCAGAGACCAGTTCTATCTGGCAGGGTCACTCCTTCTTACCAGTGGCACCCCCGTAGTTGTATTAGAGGAGGCATAGGCCAGGAGCCTGGTCTCACCCAAACCTTACCTACTATATATAGCCAGGCAGCTAAACTGAGGCTTAATGATCAGTTTGTTAATTTAAAATTTTTTTCATTCTGACATAAATACTTTAAGATCTTTTAATTTTTATTTCTATGAATTTCCTTTTTAGGGGTCCATCATTAGCAGTCCTCACATGCGCCGAAGAGCTACATCAACCCGAGAGTGTCCATCTCGCCCACACCAGACTATGCCTAACTCTTCTTCCCTCCTAGGCTCCCTATTTGGTAGTAAGAGAGGGAAGCCACCTCCTCAGGCCCACCCACTCTCTGGCCCTTCACAGCCCCCTTCTCACCCACCAGTCATCTCCCATCAACAACACGCTCAGCATTCTTCCACCGGGCATCACCAGGGCCCCTCCGAGGGACAGACACAGGCCCAGGTGCACACGCACCATACCCAGTACTGCCACATGCAGCAGAATCCGCCCCCCTACCACCACCACCACCACTACCACCCACCTCAGCACACCCAGCACGCACACCAGTACCACCATGTCTCCCATGGGGGACATCCCCCCCATCCACCTTATGTGGCACATGCCCACACGCCGCATGCCCACCCACCACTGCCCTCATCCCATGCGGGGCACTCCACCCACTCTGGGCACACAGCGCACCACCACGGACAGCAGTCTGCCCCTCCTCCTCCCACCAGCACGAAGCCCAAACACAGTGGCATCAGCACAATCGTCTAGATAGACCTGGGGGGGATGGGGAGGGGGGTCTTGGACACCCCCCCCCCATCGACTGTAGCACCAGATATCTGACGCAGAGGCGTACCCACTAGGCAGCCAGCAACATATCAAAACCCAGGGTGGATTTGTCTTCTTTTTTTTTTTTCCCTTGGCCCTGGAATCAGACAATATGATTGAATCCCATAAGCTCACAAGGCTTGCATTTTAGGAAATGAAATTCCTTTCAATTTAACCTTGTTGGCCTGGGCTTCATTCACCTCCACCTTTGGGAGGGCCTGCGTCTGGGCCAGTCTTTACCGTCATTGGCCTTGAAATGGCGCCACCTGCCAAGTAGATGTTAAACCGCCCCCAGCACCCTTACCCATGTTGGTTTTACAGGCATATGAAAATCCAGCCTAGAAAAGAAGAAACATCACACACACACACACACACACACACACACACACACACATCCTTGCTCTTATTGACAATGGGCAAAAAATTAAGTAGACCTGATATGGTTGATGAAAGTACGTAAGTAAACTTTATATAATATAAATATATATAAATATATATACATATATATATATAGACACACACACACACACACACACACATACACACATACATACACACTGTATAGGTAACGTTTGTGCGTGGAAAGCAAACTTTTCAGTCCACAAAACTAGCAATATAGATTTTACAAGGAATTTCCACTTACTTGATAGACAGCACCATAGCTGAGTAGTATGTGAAAGAGTAGGCCAAAAACTTAACTGCTAGAAACAAATTTCAGATGTTTCAGTATTTTCATAAAAAGAGAGAAAGAGAGAGGAAGAGAGAGAGAGAGAGAGAGAGAGAGAGAGAGAGAGAGAGAGAGAGAGAGAGAGAGAAGTCCCCTGAGGACTTGCAAAGATCTCTAAGCAATCATTACTGAATGTGCCAAGTAACATAGCATCTAACTGTTTAAGTCCAATATTGCTTTGTATGAATCCTTATTTTATTAACAATACTATCCTAAGTAACCAGTATTATAACTGCTCTGGTATTTCAGGTAAGCAAACTAGTTAAGATGCAGTAAACTCTACAATAGCAACATGGGATGACCAGCTAAGCATTGGTTGTCTTAGAATATTGGTTACAAAACTTCTTAGACACTTTAAAGGCTGTAATAACTGTGAATTTACATGATCCACATTTCTTTTGTATGCATTTGATTTATTGGACCCAAAATTCAGAATCTTATGAGAGGTGCACATAAACATGGCAAAAATGTTCATCTCCAACATGAAAATGATAGACACTCATCCTTGTTTCCTTAACACCATGACTTACTCATTTGGTTCCCAATTGCAATGGGCGGAAGTCCCCCTAGAGCATTTCCAGCAGGAACTGCTCTAGGACATTTATTTTAGGATTTAGCATTATAGGGTGGTGTTTTTATTTTTAAAAATGATAATAATAATTGTAATTCCATGTAGCCATGTGCTAGCAAAACACCCGTTTCATCACTGTGACCATCCGACTTCTTAGCTGACAAGTACCCAGTACTCAGCAGGCTGAGTCCCCCCCTGCCTCTCTCTCATAGTCTGGTTAAAGCATCACATGAAATCAAGCTGTGCTGTTGTTGCTTCTGTGTTGTGATGATGCCATCTGCTAACCTGTCCAAGACGCTGCCCATCCAGATTCTATACTGAGTCAAACATGGCACCTACTTTGTAGTTTCAGCCTTTTGAGCCTCTGCAGCTGCAAGTTCTTTACACCTAAGCAGTAGAAACAAGAGATCTACCCCCATTGCTCCAGCTAAAATGCAAGACCCCTTTAAAAAAAAAAAGGAAAGGGGGGGGAGGATGAGAAGTCCCTCTGTTGAGATGTGGGGAAAACACAAAAGAGCTGGTGACAGGGGCCGGTGCTGAGGTGACCAACGCCAACAGGAAGAGCAAAACCTTCTAGGTTGAAAAGTTCCTGGTTCCTGTTGCTTGGGTCATCTTCCAGTGTGGGGGCATCTGTTGACTCCCCATATTTTTTGTTGATTCCTTACCCCTTTTGTCATGCCATTGCTATCACAAAATCAGCAAAACTGCAAACTGAGCACTTTGTTGTATTTGTCCTCTAGGAAGATTAACAGTCTAGAACTTAGCCTTTAAAAAAAAAATTAAATCTGCCCACTTTTGTTTTTCTGTGTGTGTAATACTTCTTTCTTTGATATCTTCTCCAAACTGCTCTTTTGTGGAAAGAGTGGTACACATGTCCTTTAGATTTAGTTTGGGCTGAGTTGGGAGGCTATTCGGTTGCCATTAACTGTTCCAAAATTGTCCCATTTACCTTAAAGTTGAACTTGTCCAAATTCCCTTGAGGCTCTCTGTTCTTGCAAGTGAAAGGATGTTGTTATGATAAGGGAAATTAGAACTGTATTGCATGTCATCTAACGTTAATGGTGTGAGGCTACACTCTACATATTGTATATTTGCAAAATATATTGGTGTTTACTATTGAAAATTAGTTGAAGTAAAGTGATAACATATTAAAATATGTAGGCTTTTCTTCATCCCACTGTACCAATGGTAGAATCTAATTGTAATTTCCAGGTTGTTCCAGAAAAGATATGAAACTTTGGGTACAACATTGCTCTTTCTCAAGTGGCAATAGTAAAAAACAAACAAACAAAACCAAAAATAAGTTCTATCCTCCACCACCATCCACTCCCCTTAACCAAAAGATACTTCTGCATCATGGTGCTGGGGCTGTCTTTGTTGTGCTGAGGTTTTTGTGGTCATTTGTATCCCCAAACTGTCATGTGTGTTCTGAAGTTCTATGTATAAGGTATTGAGTCTAGGCTTTGTACTAGGGAGGTACCTGGGCCAGGAGATGATCAGCTGAATGCGTAAGAGAAGAATTACAACTAACTGGGGTTAAACACTTATCCTTCCCCTGAAGCTTTCACAATGAAGCATCTGAACTTTTTATCCTCCTGTTTCCAATTTTACCCGAGGTTTGGGTCAACGAGGTAGACAAACTTTGTGCCATTTGTGTTTTTATAAGCTCAAGACTAGAAACTTTTTCATAGGTATTATTGTAGACTGAAAAGATCAGAGTTATGCCTCCTGTTTTTACTTTGGGAAGTAATAAATACCAACAAACTAGTTTCCCAAAAGTCACATAGAGGTCTTTGGGACATCATTGCTTTTTATAAAGTTGCAATCCAACATGTCAGAATAAATCACAGATTAATAGCCGTATGGAAACCTCATCTGTCTTTGCCTTGAATGGGAAGATAGAAGGACATTGATGAGTTGGGCTCATCAGTGAATTAAAAGTTCTCCCTTTGAGGTCAGGGTGGCTGTTGGGATGGTTCTAGTTAAGCTTATTGAAGAAGTTGAGTCAGGACACACTAGTAACATTTTTCAAATCCCATGAATTGGTGCGATCATATAATCAATAACATCATGGCAAGACCCTTAGGAAAACAGCTGGTAACAACAACAACAACAAAAAATCTTTTCTGGGACAACAATCAACTAATGTATTTGTATTTTTTTAAGTTTATGAATGAAATGTACATCAATGTAAAAAATAAAGTCCGTCCTAATATAACGTACGTCTTGCTAAAAAGTAATCAGACTTCCAGTGTAGAGTTTTTTTTTCCATCATCAGCTGCATGCAACAGAAGCCTCTTGTTTCTCATTAAAATAAGCTAAAAGACAGTTGGCAAATATTTAAACAATGACTCTCTACATGTTGACTTGCCATTCCGTATGAAGCTGTGTTTTCTACAGTTAAGCATGCTGTTTTCGTTGTAAAATACCATCGCCCTTCCTGCCTGAAAAATGAGTAATTGTATATATATTAACAACAATAACAAAGGAACCAATTGTAAGATTACCTTGAGTGAAATAGGGTGGTGAAAATGGGACCAAGTAGGAGGAATAGATAATTCTCTCAACTTGTATATAGTGTGTAAATTAGTATTACTCTTAAGTCTGCATTCATTCCCTTGGAGGTTGTATACAGTATCTGTCTCCTCTAAAGAACCATAATTCAGCTTTGAACTGTATTAAAAATTGTTCGAGCTAGATCTTGAATGCAGACTGTTTAAAGACTTCCAAGCCCGCCCTGCTCAAAAGAAGCTTTTGCTCTATTGAGGCCCAGTACCCATTCCTTGACTGTGTAACTCTGGAGAGGAAAGGAGTGCTTTCGTTTTAATATGCATTCTGTCTGTAAGTAGTAACAGACCCTATCAGTGTAAAACTATAACTGTGATCATGTGAAGAAATCAAATAAATCATTTAAAACTCTTTGTTTCTTAATTTTTCTGAAATATCCAGGAATTTAGTTATTAACTAGGGAAGGAAAGATATCTCTATTCTCTTTAGCTGACTACTCATTGAAAACATTGGATTGATTTTGGTTGCTTTGGGGGTGCTACTAAAAGTGGCTGAGATACATGATAAATTGAATTTGTGAGTCAGTCGTGGCTGACAATTCTATTGGCTGTGTGACAGGCAATAGGACAGTGCAAATGTGCTAATACTTGATTTTAAATATCTTTCAATCTTGTTAACCTGCAGAGAAACTTTAGAAGGAAATATCTGGTAGAAAACTCAGTCTTCCATTAGAGATTGAATTGGGTGTGTCATCCACAGATAAGACTCTGTTTTCACAAGTTGATAAGTACTGTGTCATTTTATATAATTGAACTGAGAAATGTCTATGAATATACAAGGTTTGGGGATGTGATGTTTTTTTTTTTATAAATGAAATGAAGATTAGCAGGAAGATATAATTGACTGCTTTTTAAATAAAAGTTCCTGACCAAATTTAGCCCTATTGAATATTTCCCTAAAGGCTTAGGCCATATCGCATTTTGAAAAAAAAAAATAATGATGGTTACAGAAGATACAAGGTATATGTGTCCTTGAGCACTAAGATTATTATAATGGTTAGTCATACATGAAGCATGCTTATTGTAGAGCAATGAATTCTGATCTATAAAAGTCTTCCCATTGATCTCCTGTTCCTATGTTAGGCAAAAACCAGTAGTTCAGACAAATTATTTTTACTCAACTAGAACACTTTTCATATGGGAAGGCTTGAATAAAGTATTACAGAGTATTGCAAAGAAGGCAGAACCAGGAAAATAAAATACCCAAAGAATACAGTAATGGGAAAGAAAACACTAAGACAGCTGAAATCCTTCCCATTTTGTTTCTGGAGAACAAAGGAGGAAATACATCTTTCTTGATAGATGAGGAATGTTGTATATGTGTCAGGTCCAGTTGCTGAGTTTGTTGGTTTGCTTAACTTTTTCTTTTTGATAAGTGAAGGTTTGCTGGTTAGGAATGGGGGAAATATTGTAAGTGTGGGCTAAAAAAAAAAAAGGCATAAGGAAAATGGGAGAAATCCCATGATGAAACACTCACAGCATCTGATATTGCAGTTGAACAATATTTCTCCCAAGTGCCTACTATTTCTGTTTTTGTTACCAGATGGTTATGAGATACTCTTGGCCATCCTCTTCCTAATCTGTTTAGGGTCCTTTATGGTATAGAAGCTGTTTATCCTTTACCAAAATGTGTTTGGTCTATTTTTTATTTTTCCAAAGAGCTTAATAAATGCTTGTTTGTTGATTCACTGCATCATATTACCAGAGATAATTTGTGCAAGAGAAGCAGTATTTTATTTATATATGTGTGTGTGTGTATATGTATATATATCAAAGCTATTTATTCCTGGAAAAGAAGATGGGGGCTGTGTGGCGAAAATGGTAGATGACAGCCTCAGTGCTATCAGCTCTCAAACACATTACATAGGTCTTCTGTGGAGGATTTAAAGGAATGAATGGATTAGAATCACACAAAATGTGGAGGGGTTGCAACTTGCAGCTATGAAGTAAGGACCAATGAAATTATAGGATCAAGGACCCAGAGCTGGAAGGCACTGCACAGACCATCCAGTGCAACCTAGACAAGGAAACTGAGGCATAGGCGGGCCAAATGACCTCCTCTAGGTCACACAGGCAGCGAGCATCACGGGCAAGATGTGGACCAAAGTCCTCCAGTTCCGATTCGAGAGCCTGGGTTTCTTCCCTTGTATCACACAGCTTCCTAGCAGAGGGAAAAACTGTAAGAAAATTATACTTCAGAGGTCTGGGCAAATATGACTCTATATCTGAAGTTATTCTTCATCTCCAAAATCACATTAATGGACTTTCACAATTTGCATCTAGGTAGCACATAGAGGCAGCTAGGTGGTGCAGTGGATAGAGCACTGGGCTTGGAAGCAGTAAGACACCTCTTCCTGGGTTCAGATCTGGCCTTAGACACTTACTAGCTGTGACCCTGGACAAGTCACTTAACCCTGTTTGCCTCAGTTTCCTCAACTGTAAAATGAGCTGCTGCAGGAAATGGCAAACCACTCTAGTATCTTTGCCAAGAAAACCTCAAAAGGGGCCACAGAGTCAGACACAACTGAAATGACTGAACAACAAAAGCACATAGAATGGGAGGAGCTGGACTTTGGCAGAGTTATCTCGGCCTACTTCCTGACTGATATACTTGTGTACTTGTCACTCCCTATTTAGTGAATGTTCAATAATTTCAGAGGTGCTCACTCCTGTTCCCCAGAAGGATATCATAGTGAACCAGTTTGGAGAAAGATTTAATGTATTTAAGCTTAAGTATATGGACAAAGCTAAAGCAATCTAATGTGCTTTGATTCTTTCCCCTAGGATCCCTTGTGAGAGAGCTATGCAGTAATCTCTACCGGCCGATGTAAACATTTCATTGGTAGAAAAAAAATTTTGCCACGTGATATTGTGCTATTCTGGATTGATATCCAAATTGTTACCCTTTTTTAAATTCTGGTTAATTTCTTAAGCATTTTTGTGCTGTATACTCCTTTGAAGGTCTGGTAAAGCCCATAGACTCCACAGAATAACATTTTAAATGCATAGGATTACCAAGGAAACCAGTAAGATTGAAGTACAACTAACCGATTTTTTTAAAAAATTGGGATGTATTTCACAGGCCTCCTGAAATCTATCCACAGATCCCTTGTGTTAAGAACCTCTGGCATAGAAGATTACCAAGAGATGTCTTTGGAATATGTTTTCTACAAAAACTTGTCATATCGACAAACAATAGGTATATAGTACTTTAAGGCTACAAAACATTTTCCATGTTAATTCATTTGAATCTCAGAACAGTTATGTGAGTGAGGTAATCCAAATATTCCTAGACACATTTTACAGATGAGAAAACTGAGAAATTCAATGACTTAGCAAAAGTCCTACAGCTGGTAAACCAGGACAAACATCCATGGATTCTGACTCTGGATCCACAGTGCTTTTCCAGATTTTATTTGGACATCTCAGACGACCAATTGCTCTCTAGGGAGGGTGGAAAATGAAGTTTAATTTGGGCTACAAATGTTGCCATGAGTGGTAAAAAGTGGAGAAAGCAGATGTTAGTTATATGCTATTCAGATTTATAATGTAATAAATGACATTCATTGTCTTGTTCATAAGATGTGCTTGATTCATTCAGTCTTGATTGGATTTGTTAACCAAAAATAGGGCAACTCAAGAAAACAAGTTCAAGGGCCCCTCCACAGGTTCAAAGCCATACACAGTCCTTAGGAAAGGAAAATTTCTTCTAAGGAAGAAATACCATATGTCAAGAAGCCGTTTATTAAGCACTTACTGTTTGACAGGCATAAGGATAGGGAGAAAAGCAAAAACAGTTCCTGTCTTCGAGGAGTTTACATCCTAGTGGAGGCAATGAGTTAAAAACTAGGCATGGCTGTTCATTCATGTCCACTGCATCATCTGGCTGCCCACTATGTGTGACCTTGGGCAGGACTGAGGAGGGAGATCGTTCCAGCTGTGAGGGAGAGCCAGTGCAAAGGGATGGACTCAGGAGACAGCATCTCATGGAGAAACAGCAGGTAGACCAGAGTAGCAGGATTGCCAACTACATGCATAAAATGTAAAAAGAATGGAAAGATAGGAAGGGGCTGGGTTGTAACAAGCTTTAAATTCCAAACAAGAGGACCATACATTAACTCAAAGCCTCCAATCTCTCCTCACTACTCAGCTTAAAACGTTTTACTTTTTTTGAAATGAAAGGCTAACTCATCTTCTCACTTCCCACACTGAGGTAAGATTTTATTACAAGCTACCATTCATTTTAAAAATTAGATATTATGCCCTTGAAAGATAGTGTCTTTGTGCCAATAAAAGGAGTTTTGGGAACCATAACATCAACCGTAAGTCTGAACTGACAAATGAATGTTTTTAACCGTGCCACTCAAAAACAAGGAAAAGCCATCGACTAATGGATGAATTAACAATAGTCAGAAGCTTAAGTCAATGTTACTGAATTTCATGTTTCAATTCAATTCAATAAATATTTATTAAGCCCCTGCTCTATGCAAGGAATTGTGTTAGGCACTGGAATAAGGAAGGCATTTAGCCACGAATGCATGGGAGTTGGAAAGAAAGGCAAACTACTGTCCCCAGTAAAGTATATCTTAAGGTATATATGGAAACCCCCTTTCAGGAGAAAATAGCATTTCCTACTCGTACACAGCACTTCTTTGGACAACTAAAGTATACATGGTATTCTTGATTGTGCACCTCCAGATACAGCTACTGAACTTTTATCAAAGAGAGAAAATGGGGATTTTCAAACTATATGGCATCAGATAACTTGCAGTGTGTATTGTTCTGGGTCTAAGAAGATTATTTTGGGGGACTGTTGGAGTGAGCAGTCTCTCCTATACATTCTTGATCATTTAGTTGCAAATACTATCCAAAAGGCGGAGCGTTGGAGCACTCCAAAAGACCGAAAATAACCTATGAACAAAACTTATATAAACTAGCAAGATTTTCTGGTGGGTATTCCAGCCAGATGGATCTCCAGTGAAGAATCAAGAGCTAAGGTCACAGGTGTTGCGTCTTTTTATCCCAGATACTTCTAGAGGGAAGAATGCATCCTCATGAAGGCCTGTAGATGAAGTCTCAATGCCAAGCACAAGGTCCTCAGATAAGTTCATAGAAGACAGCAGCACAAAGGGACATCTGACCTTCCCCATTTACATGAGGCCGGTAGGGGGACTGTCTTTGTGTGTTGGTGATAATCAGGTTCCCCACATTTTAACTGGAAAGACCAAGTGTTGCTTCCAATTTCCATGGCTAGCATTTGGGATTTTTTGAACATTAGAATTAAATGTGCAGAGAAGGAAAAATGTAGGGGCAGGGTGGGGGGGAAATCTGTCTCATCTAATGGCTTTGAGT